TCCTTTCCTGTGACTTTTCCGTGGTCTGTCAGTTATCATTCAGTCGACTGAACGGCAGATACAATTCAGTGGCCTTTCAGTTATCTTTCAGTTGTATCTTTTTATTGGATAATCGGCTTATTTTTTAACTTAGAAATTTTATTTCACGTTTTCTTATTATAATGGATCTGCCCATACGCGAATCACGTGACCCAGGCGTTCACGTGACATGCTCCGTAGCGTTCTGTTCACAGAAATTAAAAGATTTTTCCGAGTTTTATATTTCTTACCATGCAAGTTATTTTTTATAACAAGAACAGTCCATTTGTCACAAATAGGATTGGTGGATTAGGATATCTTTTTCCAGAATGAGCATAGTGACCATCACAACCCGACTCTTTGTATTGGGGTGCGTCGTTTATCCATTGTGGATAAAGTATGGGCGCCTTCTTTTTATCATATATGATATGTTTAAAATCTAAGGTAAACGATATTTTAGGGCTTGCTTTCACTGGGCACCAGAACAAACATAATTTTTACCATCTCCCTTCCTTCACTAAAACAATCAATCCAATTAATGATTGAACTTCTGCCATATCTTTTTGTCTTCATAAATCGTGCACAAATTATTATATGCTACTGAAAAGGAATTTCTAAGATAAATGTTAAGCCGTTCGTTGATCAAGTACGACTGAGTAAACCATTTTTTGTCACGTCATCTACATATTGAGTCATTATACCCCCCCCCCCCGCTTGAAAAGTGGGAGGGTATATAGTGATCGGGATGTCCGTCCGTCCGTCTGTACGTCCATCCGTCCGTCTGTTACGCTTTGGGGTACCCATCTCTTATCCGCAACTCCTCTTATACCACTGAATGAAATTTTATGAACCTTTCACAGAAACTTTGTTACATAGTGCCATTGTGCACCTCCTATTTTACTTTTTGATCGGACACATATTTCGGGTTTCCCATAGCAAAAGATGGACACTGCCATTTCTTTCTATAATATTGTAGGGTACCCATCTCTTATCCGCAACTCCTCCTATACCACTGAATAAAATTTATTGATACTTTCACAGATTCTTTATTACATAATGCCATTGTGCACCTCCTATTTTACTTTTTGATCTGACACTTATTTCGGGTTTCCGAGAGCAAAACTGGGAGGCGGGGGGTATCATTTAGTGAGCTCAGTGCTCACAGTACCTCTAGTATTTATATTGTGACGTCCAAACGTGGAGCACATATCTGCTATTTATAGAACATGTTTATGACTTAATGTGTGCCAAATTTCATTTTGATCTGAACTGTGGTTTTGTAAATAACGAGATAGTTCACGAACTTTTTGATTACCCCTCGTAGTTCCCTAAAATATAGAAAAAATGTGTACATATAAATTTAAGAACATAAAATACCACAATCATATATTCAAAAAATACTTTGATTTACTATAGTAAAAACTTTGATACTGCATTAAACTATAGCTAACTTTGGTAAACTATAGTTTGTTTTTTTTTTGTTAGAGACTATCAGTGTTTTTCATATAGCGATCCTGATACAAACAATATATATATATAGTATTTCATAGTTAACGTTATTTAGATACATTCTTTTTTCCCTACAATAGAGATAATATAATTCTACAGAAAATAATTGTAAGTACACAAATTACAGGGGAAACAACAAATCTATGAGCCATTTCTTACCCCACACACACAACAGAGAGATTCGCAGGGTACAAGGTATATACCCCCATTTCCTTCGAAGCGGGGGTATTAATATTCATGTAATAAATAAGGATAAATGAACCTAAAAGAGGGAAAAAGATATTATATTAAAAATGAAGCGGCAATTACAGTTAATGATAGCATTTCCATATTGGACGCTATTGGACGCTTCATATGCCATGCTTTCTCTAATTTTTTCCTTGTCTAAAAATAATAATACAATACGTTTTTTGTTTCAATGCAATGGTGTATTCAGAAACTGATACATGTAAAAGCTGGGGTGGAGGCAGGTTGAAAGCGGGCACAAATTTTAAGCTAGAAGTATGGGGCCACAAACTTGTCCTTTAAATAGTTTCCGATAACATCCATTCCATACATGTATATCGTTGTCAGAAACATATCATGTCATTTTTGGAACAAAACCTGTGAGAAAAAAAAAACAAGGAAAAAACAAAACGGATTATATATATGGGATGCAAGCAAAAATAACCATACCATATACATTGTATATCATGCTAGTATTGAGAAGTGGCGTTAAGGAGGGGGAGGTACTTTGCTCCTCCTCCAATATACATTTGAAAGAAAAAAATCAGGAGACTCTAGGCCTTCACCGACCCTCCCCAACATCGGATTAACGCATTTCACACCTCATTTCTAAAGGTTTAATTATAAAATACAGTGAAAAAGTAGGGGGTCAGATTTCTATGGGGGTCATTTTTCAACGTGTGTGGAGTCGTAGAATAACCGGCCTGGAAGGGTTTTCTACGGTCGAAAAATGACCCTACTTTCCGTAGAAAATTGACCGGGGGGTCATTTTTCTACGGAGAAATTTGACCCCCCGGTCAATATTCTACGGGGGTCACTTTTCGTCGTTACACCGGCATATCTCTGATCTGAAACATAAAATACTTAAATCTACGTAAAGATAATGTGAATGCATGATATGTTCATATCAGCAACTCGAATGATAATGCAGTTTGACAGACATATATTGCACCTTAGTTTAACTACTTCATTCTAGTGCGTTGTCTTAAATTCCATATCAGTGTTAACTGCTAACATTTTCAACACAAAATTTAAAATTTGAAATTTGTTAATTTTAAGTGTAATATATATTTAAAGGATTTTTTATTCAACAATTCAATATTATGGGTGTAATTCCTGAAAGATATACATATTATTTAATATATATGAGACACACAAAAGTCTTCATATACGTACATATGAGTATGCATATAGAAAGTAGCGTAAAGAGTTTAAGCAGTAAATTTACCTCTACTGAATTTTATGGTGTTTTGATTTGAGACAGGGATTTCATCACTATTTAAAGTAACCTTCTCACAAAATCTATAATCAATATAACGATCCCGATTGCAGAATATGACCTTTTTGACTGCATGCGTCTGACCAGTATTTCTTTGGAGGTTTACGTCAAAACATGGCCAAAGCAAACTAATTCTTAAATATCCTTTACCTTTGGCATTTATGGACGAGACTTGGACTGAATGAATATCTTACAACATTTAAAATCATACATTTCTCAGTGATCTTTCTTATCGATATTCTAAACAATGTTTTGAGGGGTCTTAAAATTTGATTTCCCTTGTGACAGAAAATGTAATTGGAATCTCGTGTCTTAATTAACCAAAATCCCCTAACAAATAAGTATTATTATTTTACGACATCGACATACACAAAAGTAATTACATATCTGTTAATTTAACTGTTAATGAACAGAGCTCGTATTAATTTTAAATCAAGAAAATTCCTCATTCTGACTTTAGAGAAGATTATTAGTGACGGTACATATTATGGATTTGAACATTGCTATTATTAATTTGAAAACATTCAAATTCCTAACCTTTTCTTTAAATAACATTTTAGTAACGGAAAACGAACAGACCACAGTATTTCAAGAAATGCACACAAATTTTGCGCAAAATACATTTTCAAAATCATTGAAATATCTCCATAATGTTCTTAATTAATTAAAATAGTAATTATCTATGCTATTAACATTGAAGGAGTGCGTAACAGACGCTGTCTATAAAAGCCCTCTCCATGGTACAAGTCAAAGTAATACCTGCTATTTGGTACATACATGTTTTGTATGCAATTTTGTTTAAAAAAAAAATCCTCCTCCTCCTTGGCAACCGATCTCCCCTCTTGTTTTAGAGGTCCGTGCTGGCTCTGGTTCTATTTTGTATTGTTTGAATGAACTTGTGAGAATGACCAATGTTCTTCATCTTCACATTTCATGCTAAAAGAACTCGAAACAAATAAAAGAACTCGAAACAAATAAAAGAACTCGAAACAAATAAAAGTAAATAAATAGTGACGTGATGGTTATAGGAATTATTCTGTTCTTTTCACGTGCAATTCAGAGTGAAGGATGTTCGTAATTCAAAATTTCTGCTATTTATACATAAGAAAAATCTACCTTTATAAACTTTATTCATGTTAAAATTTGTAACAGCTTAAGCATAGATAATAGGAATTATCTTAAAGCCTATAATATATTCTTCCATTTTTAACATTTTCAGCCTGGACATATATTCATAAAATTTAAAGGGCATTTATTTTCATTGTTAATGATACTTATATGCATAATTTCAAGTTTCTTTCTACGTCTTGCTACATTTATTGAATTCATCTAATTTTTATATTTTTCTTCCCCTAAATTTTATAAATTCATGGCATATTTCAAAAATAGAATTGGAAAAGTTTCCAAACATGTAAATATTGTAAGGTGATGTGAGTTAAACAAATTTATACAAAATGAAGATAACTCAGTTCATTGATCGGAAATTTAATTATGTCTCGGATTGGTTGACAGTCGATCTAACTGTCATTTTGTTTTGTTAATGCTTCTAATTCAAATATTGCACTCATTCATGCAATTAGAAAGGCACTCTCATTAGCGGAAAGCTAATATATATTATGGTAATAAGAAAAGAAGTTACATATAAGCAATTGTTTTGATGTAATAAGCAGTTTCCCTGGAGAAGAAGGATGAATCTAATTTAGTAAGCAATTTAGATTCAAGACAATGAAAAACTGTAACATTATGGTCTTTTGGACTGGTTCTGGTTATTTTGACTTGACAGTTTCGTATTATATAGACTGTTTGGTGTTATTTTGACAGGTTCGTGTTATTTTGACTGGTTCGTGTTATTTTGACAGGTTCGTATTATTATCACTGGTTCGTGTTATTTTGACAGGTTAGTGTTATTTTCACTGGTTCGTGTTATTTTGACAGGTTCGTGTTATATTGACAGGTTCGTATTATTATGACTGGTTCGTGTTGTTTTTGAGAGGTTCGTATTATTTTGACTTGTTCGTGTTATTTTGACACAAGAATTTAGACAATGACATATTGTAATAAATGCGGTTTTCTGGGCTTCTGCATTTTGTTGTCCGTATTTCTGGTAGTGAATGTTATTGCTCAGTTATACACCACGGAAACAGAGTTCGATGATCTAAAAACAGAAACAGGATTAATATCTGAAGATGACAGTGAATCCCTCTCAGACTGTGCTTTTCTGTGTAAACACCGCTGTCATTGCTTTGGGTTTAATTCGTTTGTAAACAAATGTCGCCTCCACAGATTCTGTGTCATGGAAGAAATGAGTTCTACAGAAGCCGGATGGAAGTATTATTGCACAGGTTGTATGTATCACTTACCAGGTTTTCTAAATAACGATGAAAATAAATACTTAAATATGTATATAAATTCAAAAATTAAAAAAGTCATGGTAACTAAAAAATATAATCTTTACAGTTCATATTTGTTTGCTCTTTGATTTGTTTTTTTAGCTCACCTGAGCTGAAAGCTCAAGTGAGCTTTTCTGATCACATTTTGTCCGTCGTCCGTCTGTCTGTCTGTCTGTCCGTCAGTCTGTAAACTTTTCACATTTTTGACTTCTTCTCCAGAACCACTGGGCCAATTTCAACCAAACTTGCCATGAAGCATCCTTGTGTAAAGGGAATTCAAGTTTGTTCAACTGAGGGGCCACGCCCTCTTTGAAGGGGAGATAATTAGGAATTAGTGAAAAAACAATGGCATTATTTAAAAATCTTCTTCTCAAGAACCACTGGGCCAGGAAAGATGAAACTTATGTGGAAACATCCTCAGGTAGTGTAAATTCAAGTTTGTTCAAATCATGACTCCCGGGGGTAGGGTGGGGCCACAATGGGGGATCAAAGTTTTACATAGGAATATATAGGAAAATATCTTTAAAAATCTTCTTCTTAAGAACAGCAAAGCCATGATTGGTCATATTTATATGGAAGGATCCTCAGGTAGTGTAGATTCAAGTTTGTTCAAATCATGACCCCCGGGGCTAGGATGAGGCCACAATGAGGGATCAAAGTTTTACATAGAAATATATAGGAAAATATCTTTAAAAATCTTCTTCTTAAGAACAGCAAAGCCATGATTGGTCATATTTATATGGAAGCATCCTCAAGTAGTGTAGATTCAATTTTGTTCAAATCATGACCCCCGGGGGTAGGATGGGGCCACAATGGGGGATCAAAGTTTTACATAGAAATATATAGGAAAATATCTTTAAAATTCTTCCTCTTAAGAACAGTAAAGCCATAATTGGTCATATTTACATGGAAGCATCCTCAGGTAGTGTAGATTCAATTTTGTTCAAATCATGACCCCTGGGGGTAGGGTAGGGCCACAATGGGAGATCAAAGTTTTACAAATGAATATATGGGAAAAAAATCTGATGCTCAAGAACAGCAAAGTCATTTTTTATATTGATATGAAAGCATCATTAGGTAGTTTAAAATTCACCCCCCCCCCCCACCCCATAAACTTTTCAATGCTGAACTGATTTTTACTTTTTTTCCTAGCCAATGTGCTCAGGTGAGCGATGTGGCCCATGGGCCTCTTGTTTTTTTCTGCTGTGCTTTAATTTGTATCGGTTTTTATTTATAATCCTTTTCTGTTGGACTTCACAAGGAATACAATTTCCAAAATACAATATTAATGCTGATAAAGGGAAAAAAATGTATACTAAAAATTTTGTCCTTCAACGTATAAAAATCGCGATTGTATGTATCTTTGTTTGTTTAATATCCCTTTCAAGAATTATTGAGTTGCCACCACTTGCCGATCGAGGGTTGAAAATTTAAACATAAGCTCTGACCTTAGGGCCAGGAAGCAGTGAGGGACTTTTTTTTTTTCTTGCAAGCATCTACTGCGACACGCACGCGACCTCCATTTATACGATCTCATTCGAATGACCGATATCCACGTCCCTCACTGGGATTCAAACTCGCGAAGTAATGATCAACTCCTAAAACTGCGATCCTACAGCAAACGCTCTAACCACTTCGCCATGCTGGCGACAAAATCACGATTAAAATCTGAATTTTAAGATGTATTCATCTGAACATTATATAATAGAAAACTTTATGTGAAAAAGTTGACATCGATTCAAAAAGCATAAAACTTTGACTTTTTGATTTCTAATGGTAAATGTTCGTATTTTGTCTTTAGGGATCATGAACTTTTGTAATAAAAAAGAAAAGTATTGAAGGAAAGGGAAAACTATAAATTATGTATGTTTCCTCAGATACAGCTCTACCAAAGGATTGTCAGGAGTATTATAACAATGGACAGACTCAGTCGGGGATATATGGTATATCTCCGTACAGAAAGCGATGTCATGTTGTCTATGTATTCTGTGATATGGTGACGAATGGAGGAGGGTGGACGGTAAGTAATAAGGACAGCCATTATGTATAATTGTCTGTATATTTTTTGATATAGTGACAAATGGCGGAGAGTGGACGGTAAGTAAATGGAATAGCCACTATTTCATGTTGACTATTATTGTGATACGAATAAATGAATGAGATGACGCATGCGCAATTATCATACATAGTTACATATAGTAAATAATAATCCTTTGACGGTGCCAAATGGCGGATGGTGCACGGTAGGTAACTTAAATAGCCACTACGTCGTGTTGTCTATGTACATTTGATACGGTCATAGATAGAGTTTAAAAATAGTTACTGTGTCATAACGTTTCTTTTGTTTCTGAGACAAGATTTCTGAAAACATTATTTTTAAATGAAAAGTTTTTGCTCGCTGAATAGCCTGAAAAAAATAGTGATCAGAAGTATTATACAGTTGTGGAGAAAAAATACTTCGAACTCACTACCAAAGAAACACCAACAAATCACAGATTTTTTTTTTTAAAGATGATGCGATTAGTCTTGATTATTGGGCATAATATCTGTAGGACTTTAATATTCTTTTTTATTATTATTCTAAGGCAATTCAAAGACGGCGTAGCGGAGTTGTGAGTTTTGAGAAGACTTGGGTGGAGTATAAGATTGGCTTTGGGGAGGCAGTTACCGCATATTGGATTGGTTTGTACATTTTATAGTACATAATGCAAAACCTATATTTATGCTTTCAAATTGTACAGTTTTTAGAGAGAGAGAGAGAGAGAGAGAGAGAGAGAGAGAGAGAGAGAGAGAGAGAGAGAGAGAGAGAGAGATTATCAAAAATATGTATAAAATGCTCAAGATTAAAATCACTATTTCAAGGTGTGTTTTTTTTCACAATCACTGAATTTTTCTTTATTATGAAATTGCATGGTTATAATTAGTTAAAAAACATATAAACATATATAATTATTAATAACCCGCCATTGTTACTAGGTCTTATTTTGATTGACGTATTTCATATTGTAATTCCGTCTACCTGATCAATGCACATTGCTATGGCGGGTATGATCGGTCGGCAGATGATGCTTACTCCTCGCAGGCATTTGACCCAAACTCTACAAATTTGAAAGGGTATTTGTTTTATGCCCTATTGTGTGTAGGTTTTGGGGGATCGATTACATTTCTTTATCCTCACCTTTTCAATATTATTTATCGATGATCAGAATGGATTTTCAATGATATGTCCGGGATGCTTACTCCTCCTACGCCTCTGATGTTTCAGGGGTCCGTGTTTTGCCTATTTGTACAGATATTTGTACAGATATTGTATTGTTTAGAGGGTTTTTGAGATTGATCATCATTCTCATATGAGAAAAATAAGTACAAAAAAGGATTAATAATCAGATCAAAGTACAAATTCTTTATCTGAAATAAATCAATACGTTTTGCATAGTATTTCATAATTATTTATTTTCAACAAAGATGTCGCAAATTTTCCCGTTGTTTCAAAAGTTAGCTTGTATTTCATCAATATCTTAATCTTTGGTACAAAGTTCTCACATTTATAAAACGTTTTATTTTACCGAGTTGAGAATGATACTCCCTGATACGGTGATCATTATACTGAATCCTCAAAAAAAAAAAGGAATTCTGAAAATATATACGTAAAACAGTGTACTTAATTTTGAAGGCACAGAACAATGCAAAAAATCTTCATTCAATGCTTCGACAATTCCAAACATATCAAGACACTATATTGTTTATCTCTTAATTTAAGGAAATGAAATCATTCACCTGTTTACTAAGGACATTAACCCATACCTGTATGTTTCGATCACACTAAACAATGGTACGAGTTATCATCAGATGTATGACCAGTTTTCCGTGTCTGATGAAGCAGACAAGTACCGACTTTTTCTCGCAGGACCTTCCCAGGGAACATTGGGTAGGTAGTATTTTTTTATTATAAATTATCTAATTATATATTGAGTAAATAATCATTTCTTTTCACAATCTATAAAATATTCATTCATGGGTACTTCATTTTTTTATTCAACATTCATTTAAAACTGCTGCTATTTTGTTTTTGTGATTGCTGTTTTGTTTTTGTGAATACAAGAAATAATATGCACAATATTTCAGAAATGTTTTAATTTTATTTCTATTGTAAATGTTAAAGCTCTTCATAAAAAAAATTATCGTAGAAATACCACTGGTAAGACAATCCATAGAATATCAATATTTTAATTTACTAAGAATAAGGTATATAAATACATTTCATCAATGGAAAAGTAGTTAACATAGTAATTTTCCCTGGGATATTTGAATGATTTATAATTCGATTTAATATAATTGTATCAATGAAGAAACTAAAACAAACAACGTCTGGAAAAAACTACATTTAAAACATACAACCGAAAATGAATATAGTTAAAAAACTACGGTAATATTTTTTTCTCTTGGTGATTCGTCAGAATTTTCCGATAAACAATAAATATTTTAAGTCATGTGATTAGATTGAATTGGAGAGTCAGTCATGTGATCACAGGGATTGAGAAAATAAGCCTAGTCATTAATCATTTAGTCAATATATGGCGAATGAAGATAGAGTATAAAGACTGGGTATAATATTTCATACGCATAAGAAATTATATTGAATTTTGTGCAAAATACTGCACTAGAAGCAAAAAAATTGGAAATCATTTTCATGTTTTTATCAGTTAGTGTATATTACATTAATTTTAGGTGATAGAATGTTGAACACTGGAGTAGCTGATGCTGATATTTCCGGTATGTTCTTTAGTACACCTGACCAGGACAACGACGGAACAACTGCATACGACTGTGCAGCCACCTATCGAGCAGGGTGGTGGTTTAATTATTGCCACCACGCTTTGCTGAACGGACAGTGGTACCCACAATACTGGTATCTGCCATGGTTTTCCATCATTCCTGATGGAACGGATGTGAATGAAACACTAATGATGATAAAACGCCACTAACACTTTATTTTAATCTCTATATTGAATCACATAACTGACACATCAAAATACTTGTATCTACCATGGAATCTCATCATTTCTGGTGAATCTAACATGAATGAGACAGTAATAATAACAAACCCACTCTCCTTCATAATTTGATTCTCCATATTGGCTGAATCACATAATTGATCAAAGTGTCAATAACATAAAAAACCTATGAAACAGTACTGATATATCTTCCCTTGAATCTATACCAATCCTAAAATGGAACGGAAGTAAATGAAACTATAATAATGATATATCTGCATAATTGAAATCTCCATGCGGAAAAACTTTACAAATAATAATAATTGAATAATACACTTGTGCTGATAAAACATAAATTCAAATTTAAGTTATGAATCAGGTGACTGCTACGTCATAATAGTGGTATCTATTCTATAATCCCATCACTCCGTATAGAATGAACGTAAATAAGACAACGATGATGATAAAACCAGACTAATACAACATTTAAATCCCCATAGTAATCACATTTTCATTCTTGATGGATTTGAGTCAAAATCCCATTTGTTATATCTTGACCACATTTCAGCAATTGCTTTGTAACATATTTCATGAGGCAAACTTTAAGCATTTTGGTGTATAGATGAAACGATTTATGATGCTGTTTTTATATATAACAAAGTGTAACTTGTCTAAACGATACATATTTTAAACATTTAGTTAAGTTATTTTCTTTAATCAGTCATTTTAATCGTTTTGCCTGGGTCTAGCTAAAAAGAGGCTATGTCATCAGGTAACAGACGTTACTTATACGTGCTTGCCTTTAATATTTCTTATGGCGACCGAGATGCAAAATTTGGAAGGCAACATGGCGAATAAAATTAAGTTTTTGTCTTCTAAATTAAAATAGAAAAACCATGCCAGTGCTATTTTCGCGTTTGATGCACTATGCTCAAATCGACTTGGTATTGTTGTAATTAAATCTAGAGAAGCGCCACTTTTCAGTTACGTAATCAGTAAACAACAAGATGACGAGTGTAAGAGATTCACAAGGTGATAAAATCGTTAAACCGTAATTGATCTCTGTTATCTGTTATTGGTCCTCAACGAAATGAGTTGCTTATTAAGTTTTTACAGACTGTTCATAGCAATATAACTGGTTGTTCAGGTCGATGGGAGGCGCGGCTTTGCCTCACCCTGACATGGTTTCGAACAACCCGTAATATTTCTCTGGACAATCAGCAAAGAATTTAAAAGGTAATTATTTTAAGACAGTAACGAACCATTTGAATCAGGCCATACACGCTTAATGATGTCAAAAGTAAATATTTTGATCAGTTTTTTGATGTTTGAGACAATATATGTTTGATCGAGAATTTCTGTCGTATATTGTCTAGGTGTTTGATGGTTCATGGAGTTTTATTCGGATTGGGGCACCTGGTTATCTGTTTATAAACGGTTTCACCTTTGATGCTTAGTGCTTCAATGCATGCATGCTTAAATAGATTTTTTTTTATTTCACCCTGTGTTAGATTTTCCCCTTAATACTTACAAAACATTGTCCTTTTTAGATTCACAGGGATATATTTTTATTTGAATTTATCTTGTTTTGAATTGTTTCACTGAGTGCGGAATTGGCACTGAAATGGGCAAAAATGGAATGTTTTTGAATACATCATTCAAAAACAACAAAAATAAAGATTTTTTTCTTCTTAATTGCATTATTTGCACACTAGATGTTTGTATTAATAGTAGATATGTTTTAATCATGTTATAATACAATTCAATATAATGATTGTATTTTTTAGGTATAATGTTTTAACAATATTTCATATCAATTGTAAATAAATTTTGAACAATTATTCATGGAGATTATCTTTTTTCCCACAGGACCCAGGATAGCAAATGAAATAGCAAACCAATACAGTTATCCTATGTTACTTTTGTCAGAAACACCTCTTTTTACATTTATTGACTAATTAATTCATAGAACACTTTGTTGGCAAAGGTCTGTTTTGCCCTGCTCTCAATTCTGTTCGTTAAAAGTATTTCATTCATAACAAAAATATTTTAGTAAACGTACCTCAAAAACATTCATCAACACTCGCTTATAACGAAAATCTCTGACAAAAAGAAATCTTGAAGAATATTTAATCTATTATTATCTCTGTATAGTAAAAAGTGCTTTGAGGAAATTTATTATAACAAGCATTCTGAGAGTATTGCATAAGCAATACTAGTCCCCTACCGGCAAGTGTAATCTGGTTCCCGTTTAAAATTTACAATGCTATAATTCCGTCAAAAATCAATGAAGCGGAACGAAATGCAAACTTGATCTAAAACTCATCAAGGTAATGTCACACGCCAAAAATCAGCTCAAAATCAGCAAGCGTTTAGAAAAAAAAAAAAACTGCGGAAAACCCTGAAAAATTGAAAAGGCCGTAATTCCGTCAAAAATCATTGAAGCGGAACGAAACGCAAACTTGATCTGTAACTCATCACGATACACCCACATACCAAAAAATCAGCTCAATATCTGCAAGCCTTTAGAAAAGAAAGTGCGGAAAACCAAATGGGACAGACTGACAGACAGACAGAGGGACAGACAGACGGACAGAAAGTCCTATAGTCCCCTCCGGTTTCACCGGTAATGGACTAATAAAAACGACATTGAAGAAGTACAATCAATTGTTATGGGTCAGAATAACCCCAAATGCCAGCAAAAAATTAATCACACAGTTTAAATCTAACAACAATCTATTTACAGTAATATAAAAAATCAAAAAGTACAAACTTACAGCAGAGTATCCGTAATTGTACACACAATGTCCAAGTGAGAGTATCCAACACCTATCTTATCCCAGTTTCTTTGTACTGAAGTCTCTTTGTACTCCAGTCTTTTTATACGCCAGTCTTACTTATGCATACAATTGGCAGTGCATTTATACTTAAACATAAATCTAGAAAATTCTAAAAAGTGTAAATACAAGATGTTACTGGAACATTATGGACATACATTAAATTCAAGATTCAAAAATGTTCTAGAAAAAAAGGACATACATGTTGACCACTCCGGAATGTTCCAAAAGCGTTTATGTTATTCATGTTGTGACAATACAAACACATTTCAAATACACAACAACTCACAACACATTGTTCACTTTAACACTTTAGTTAATGGATATATGAATGCTAAATTTCATTCATATCTATTCTCATACTAACATATTTGTTCAGAGATGGAGTGAAGAAAATCTCAGAGTAACAATTTTTTATTCTAAAACATTTGCTTATCGATAGTAGAATGTTTCATCTCATTTACATCACAATAACAATACCACAATGACATATTTGTGTATGGATGTAATTAAGTTTACTATCATTCAAATGCATTATTTTTCACACTTTTCTACGTGAATCAAATTCATGTCAATTATTATATTAACATGTTTGTAAAGAGATAAAAGAAAGTTGAATCTCATTTATGTCAAATGTTATTTAAACACCATTTCATTAAATATATATATCGACGACGTATTACCAATTAACAATAATTTTTTTTTTATATGTCGACTCGATATATTCCATTGAACTTGAAGTAAAGGTAACGCAGAGTCTGCCAGGTCTCTTGCATATTTTACTATTTTACTGAAGACGAAAACGGCCAACAAACAGCTAATTTGTATGATCATCAAATTCCTTATTTTTATAGTTATAATTTGCTATCATCTGCTTATGGGCTACAAGTCTCCAAACTTATTTGATACTCAAGAGCATGGTCCAAGATCGATCAATCTTTTAAACCGAGGCAGGCTACCGACAGATAAGTTGAGTTTACAACAAATCTTTATGATAAACGTGATGACTTCAACTTTCTATCGTAAACTTCCCTTATTTATATGCCAATGTACCATTATTATCAGCATATGGAATTTATGTCTGCCAGTTGATTCGGTACGCAAGAGCAAACACTCTTTGTAAGTACCATTTCTTAAACGAAGCAAGCTATTAACCAAACATTTGGAGAAACGAGAATATCGAATATCAGCTCAAAGTTCCGCAAACTGTATGGTCGACACAATGACCTTGTCAGCAAAAATAATCTATCTTTAAGTAAAATGTTGACTGATTTTTTTCATACTGATTTTTTTCATACAAATTGTAAAGAGATGATTTTTTCACTGAAATATCTTCTGACTTGCTCTTTGTCCGATAATGGCAAGTAGCATACAGTGGGTGTGACCTGTCGACAGGAGATGCTATACTCCTCCATGGCACCTGATCCCATCTCTGATTTTTTAGAGGTCCATGTTTGCTTTGCTCCAAATCTGTTTTGTTTGAATTAACTTGAGCTTGATTACTGCTCGTTATCTTAATATTTCATTACAGGGATTTCAACAACCTCGTTAAAAGTCAGTAGTTCGTAAATTCTATGGTCTTATAATGACCTAGTTTACAAATATAACTTATCATTGAGTTGTATTTTGCGGAACGTGTTTAATACCAATTGTTAGGCATTTGTTTTTGTACAAAATTTGACTACGGAATGTTTTTCTATACCTAAATGATACACAGGACTGACGGCGGGTGTGACCGGTCGACAGGGGATGCTTATTCCTCCGACTGATCCCACCTTTCGAATTTTAGGTTTACCGAGTTTTTCATGATTCTTTATATATTTTTTACGTTACCCCCCTCTTTTTTTTTTAAATTAGAAATGAACAATGCATATAGCCGGGGTTTGTATAGACTGGAGAGAGGATAGGGAACACCTCTACAAACAATTGTGCATTTAACATGTGCTCTAAAACAAAAAATGCTAACAATCATATTTTCTATATATTTAAAAAGAAGTTTATAACGATGAACTTAACTACGCTTACTTTATTTTAGTGATTTTGTCAAACTTTGCCTAAATGAAAGATTGAACAAGCCTATTCTTATAAAATAGTAAACTTCAGAATCCATCAGTAAAAAGAAATGTTTTCTGAATATATTTTTCGATGCCTTAAAAAATTTCATGGACAAAAATATTTCAGCCAAATTTATGAGTACTATAGCTGATCTTTTTTTTTTCAATAGAAACTGCAAGAATGGAATTCACACGTGCCAGGCCTGTATGATCTTTTATATTACTAATCAATTATTTACTTATATATTTATTGTATATATGTTTATTTGTTGTTTATTATTTGCCAAAAAATGTCCATTTAATGATTTGATTTATTGTCTCAGATTTTTCAAATTTTAATGTTTGAGAACAGCTCTAGCGTGTATATGAATCGTTTTATTACATTTAAATTTAATGATATTTTTTTCATTTTATGATTAAGTCACATATGCTGCATAAAATCACGCACATTTTATCTATAAATATACCTATATATTTTTAAATTTCGTATTTATGTGAGTGAGCTCTTCACTGTTTCACATGAACAGGTAATCTAGTTTATTGACTGTACTATATGTAATGCAAACACTTTTCTTCACCAAAACGGTTGAAAACACTTTTAACGCACAAAAGTTAACTAGTAAAGTAATTCATTTCTTCAAATCAATTTTGTAGATACAAAGATGGTGTTTTTCCAAAGTGCTGCTATTGTACTTTTGCTATTGTTGTCGAAAAACGTGAATGCTTCGGGTAAATTCAAAACCATTGTTCTTTAGATATAATATTAATTTATGTTGTTTACAATTGTTATCTTTGTGTTTATACTTGTAATTTTTGTTGGTTAATTTTTTCTTTTTTCTTTTTTTTTTTTTTTTTACACTTTTAATTTTTGTTATTTAGCTTTGTAATTTTGTTGTTTAAGTTTGTCATTTTTGTTTTTTAGCTCACCTGAGCTGAAAGCTCAAGTGAGCTTTTATGATTACATTTTTTTGGTGTCCGTCTGTCTGTCTGTCTGTCCGTCTGTAAACTTTTCACATTTTCGACTTCTTCTCCAGAACCACCGGGCCTATTTCAGCCAAACTTGCCACAAAGCATTCTTTGGTAAAGGGGATTCAAGTTTGTTCAAATGAAGGCCCACGCCCTCTTCCAAGGGGAGATAATTAAGAATTAGTGAAACTTTGGTTGTATCTTTTAAAAATCTTCTTCTCAAGAACCACTAGGCTGAAAAAGTTGAAACTTATGAGAAACTTTCATTACATAGTGCAGATTCAAGTTTGTCCAAATCATGACCCTCAGGTGTAGGGTGGGGCCACAATGGGGGATCAAAGTTTTACATAGGAATATATAGGAAAAATCTTTAAAAATCTTCTTCTCAAAAACTACAAAGACACAATTAGTCATATTGATGTGGAATCATCCTCAGGTTGTGTAGATTCAAGTTTGTACAAATCATGAACTACGGGGGTAGGGTAGGGCCACTTTGGGGGATCAGAATTTTACATAGGAATGTATAGAAAAAATCTTTAAAAATCTTCTACTCAAGAACAACAAAGCCACAATTAGTCATATGGATATGGAATCATCCTCAGGTAGTGTAGATTCAAGTTTGTACAAATCATGACCCCCGGGGGTAGGGTAGGGCCACAATGGGGGATCAAAGTTTAACATTGGAATATAACAAAAAAATCTTTAAAAATGTTCTTCTCAAGAACAACAAAGCCATGATTAGTCATATTAATATGGAAGCATCCTCAGGTAGTGTAGATTTAGGTTTGTTCAAATCATTACTCCGGGGGGTAGGGTTTTGCCACAATGGGGGAACAAAGTTTACCTACGAATATATAAATTTTTTTTTTTGAATTTTCTTCTCAAGAACAACAAAGCCTTAATTTCTCATATTGATATGGAAGCATCCTCGGGTAGTGTAGATTCAAGTTTATTCAAATCATGACCCCCATCCCCACCCCCGCCCGGGAAGGGTGGCAGACATCTTTATAATTCGGTTTTCAAGAACAGCAAAGCCATGCATGATTAGTTATATGAATATAGGAGCATCCTTAGAAAGTTTAGATTTAATTTCATTCAAAACATGGCACCTGGGGGTAGGGTATGCCTAGAACAGGAGAACAAAGGTTTACTCATGAATATATAAGAGAAGAAATCTGCTCACGAAGAACAACAGGGCCATATTGAATCAGGTGAGCGTTGTGGCCCATGGGCCTCTTGTTTCTCTTGTATATTTTTTTTTGTTGGCGGGGGATGGGGGGTACACGTTTAAATTTTGTTGTTAGCACTTATAATTTTTAATGAAGACCTAACTCCATATTCTGTTGGTTTTTAGACCAGTCTTTTGCTCTTTGTGGTGATCAGAAAGGCTTCATACGCTGTACAAATGGAACCCAGATTCAGATTTTATCTGCAAACTACGGACGGACAGACGAACAAGTGTGTCCTACTGGTAAAATCAAAACAAGTACCTGTCATTCGAAGATGTCTGAAATCAAGACAAAATGGAACTGCAATGGGTACAGGACGTGTCACCTTCACGCCGCTGTTCAACACTTCGGAGACCCTTGTCCTAATTACTCTAAATATCTGGAGGTCAAATACCGCTGTGTTAAGGATCCAAACATTTTTCCAAAAGGTACTTATTATATTTGTATTGAATGTTTGATTTCAAAGAAACTAACTTTTATTTCATATGTGTTCCTTATTAAGAGTTATACAAGCGAAAATTAATAATTTAAATTCATGTCATACTCACTACCTGTAGCTTTTTAAATCAAATATGTTTGTGCGTATCAGTGCCAATTAAAAGAAAATCAATTGTTAACTTTCCACGGCAAAAGGGACCAGTTTAATTGAAGTATATAATCTTAATTCATCTTTGGGAAGAATCAGAATTCCTTTTGCAATATTTTTTATAATGCAGGTAAATTAATTGCATTTAATGCATTCATAATCAAATCACTACACCTTAAAAGAGGTACTCCCGTTAACGTTGTTTACGATGGTGTATATTACAACTATGGAAACGCGTACAATCAGCATACTGGAGTCTTCACAGCGCCATCTGACGGACTTTACGTGTTTACGTGGTCAAGTTGTGTAGAACCAAAAAAGATATTCGATGTGGAAATCCTTCTCAATGGGAAAAGAAAAGGACTCGGAAACTGCAACAATGAATTAAACAAAGGATATGAAAATTGTTCAAACACATTTCCATTCGTTTTAAGGGCTGGGGATAAGGTTAATATCCGTACAACATATGCAAACTATCTGCATGGATCGTGGTCCAGTTTCTCTGGATGGAAAGTCTAAAGACAATTAAATATACATGTATAAATGAAATCAATTAAATAAAGCATATGTAAAAGCTACCATTTTTCTATATTTTTTAAAGAGGAGTAGAAAAAAATACATGGTGACTCCAAAAACAATTACTAACTATGTAGGAATCTTGCCATCACTCAACAAAAAGACTTATATGGTTTCCCCGATGAGAGAGGGTATATTAATAGGTTGTAAATCTCACAAGGGCAATAGATTTTCATTTCCTTTAAAATTCATACAATTAAACATAATTTTTTGTTGAGAAAAAAAATCACAATCACAAGTCCTCAGGAAGAATATGAAAAAAAAATTCTGAAAGATATATGCATACGCATACAATGAGCAAAAAAATGTCCCTTTTTTCTCCTTCCAACATATATCTATTGCATTTGCTTATTAATTAGAGGTAATGAAGGTTATGAACATTTTCTGTATAGTTTCCAATTACACTATAGATTATAATCCCATAGCACATAAGGTTACCAGCACTGGTACCACTCAGATCATATTAGTTATACACTATTTTTGGGGCTCTAAATCTTTTTTTTTCTATCATCAAATATCCTTATTTATGTAGTAATATCCCACTATCACCTGCATTTCCTATGGTTGTTATAATGACCTTGTTAGTAAATATAACCTATCATTGGGTCGTATTTTGGCTGACTTGTTTCATACTAATTGTTATGCTTTTGTTTTTATACTAAATTTGACAACATAATGTTCCGCCTACCTGATCAATACATAGGGCTCACGGCGGTGTGTCCGAAGTTACTTTGAATATTCCGCCAGGTTGAAAATTGACTCAGGGTTCATTCTTCAATGTTGAATATTCAACCGAGGGTGCTTTTGCACCATTAAAATTTGAGACCGAAAGTCGTGTATTTTTATACCCGGGGTAATTTTTCAACAGCTTGGTATTTTATTCTAATCTCTTCTGACCTCAACACGTTGAATTTTAACCCTGTTGAATATTGACCCCAACTTTAGAGCTCTGAACTGGATGCTGTTTCACGAGGATTTGTCTATTTGTGTCTATTTATTAATATTTCATTTTAAAAATCAAGAAATGACCACATCATCCCTAGTATATAAGAACATTGTTGATCAGTGCATGATTTAATTTATTTTCATGCACGACAACCTTACTTTTGACACTACTTTCTAAATTTCACAAAATATACAAATAAAACAAATCTGTGAATAGGGTAGAAAACACGGATCTCTGGAAATGTTTAAGTGTCTAAGAAGTGTAAACATCCCCTGTTGACCGGTCACACCCGCCTTGAGGCCTGATTATTGAGCAGGTAGGCATCGGTGTAATATTCCGTAGTCAAATTCAGTATAAATACAAAAGCTTACCAATTGGTATGAAATACATCCGGCAAAATAAACCCAATAGTAGGTTATATATGCAAAAAAGGTAAGTCTGGCGACAATAATATTCATGTAGCGCTGACTTTAAACAAGGATGCTGAAATCTCTGTAACATTAACTTACCTGCCAGTAGCCAGCCTGGACTTAAAACTTGATCGTACTAGGGACATGCCCTCGAATAAATCGGGATATGTAAAGACTATATACAGGTGATAGGGGGAAATAACTCACAAATAAGGATAATTGACGATGGAAAAGATTGAATCATCTCGTTTTATATACATTTTAGTTGTAAGTTGATCCTGTATCGTATTTAGCCAGTAAAACATCCACATATGCCACAGATGTGGCTGACTCATCATTTATTTTGATTTCACTGGGATATATCGAGTCGGCTTATGAATGGAAGTAGCTTATATCAATGTTAACATGTTATTCTAAAGAATAAAACTGAATTAAGTTTGTAATAATAATTCATAGTTGTGAATATCAATTCATAAATATATGCTTCTATGCTGTTGAATTAAGAACCGGTTTCATGATCAAAATTCCACGACCCGGCTTAATTTTCAACGGACTAGGGTCTACATTCAATACTTCTGGTCTCAATATTCATTATTGAAAAATGACCCTGACTCAGTTTCAAACCTGGGCCACAACTCTACGTCACATCGACCAACAGGGGGATGCTTATTCCTCCTAGGCACCGGATCCAGGAGTCCGTGTTTCATGCCCTGATCACAGATTTCTATTGTTTATAGAATTTTTGAAATCGATCACAGTACATTCATTATCTTCACATTTTTCATTGTATTTCAATTATATTGATTACATATTGCTATTAAAATAGTCAGTGTTCATCTTCTCAATTGGAAGTCGCCCGCGTGGCGCAGTGGTTAGAGCGTCTGCTCTATAGAGTCGCGAAGTAAGGAGTTGATCTTTACGTCGCGGGTTCGAATCCCACTGTGGGACGTGGAGACCGGTCCTTCGGATGAGACCGTATAAACCGAGGTCTCGTGTCGCAGTAGGTGCTGACACGAAAAAGATCCCTCACTGCTCAATGGCCCTAAGTGCCGAGCATAGATCAGAATTTGCAGCTCTCCACCGGCAAGCGGTGGCGTCTCCATATGAGTGAAAAATTCTCGAGAGGGGTGTCAAACAATAAACAAAAAAAAAAAAATCTCAATTAGAAACTCATCTTCTATTATAATATATATATTTTCTCCAAAATGGATCAATCAAAACCCAAAGATCTTTTGCTAAGAAACGATTTTATTTTTACGAAATGTTAATCATGTTAATACTAATCACAAGCATAAAGTCAAATGGTATAAAGTTATCCTGTATGAAATGTGTTTCCCTATTTCAAAACCAATGTAATTCTTGTTGCAAATATGTACATGTTTTCTTCTTGTAATCTATATTCGATTTAGCGTAGTGTTAGGGCCTCCAATTTGTGCTAAGAAGGTATTCTTGAACAAATCGCCGCCTAAGACATTAAGCATAGGTAGCGATTGTTCCGCCACACAGTGAAGGTGTTGGCATGATAAAGAACCTTCACTACTCAAGGGCTCTGAATGCTGAATGAAGATATTGATTTAAAGAATTTCACTTTATATGATGACGTCCCATATAAGTGGAAAGTTCTCGCAAGGAACATTGAACATCAATCGAGCAATCAAACAAACATGCTTTGTATCCTTGTGTCATAAGCAATGAAATATGAATTGTTTTGTATATGCCTATGTTGAAAGCATTGTTAAATATGCTGAATATATGTTTAGTTTTTTTTTCTTTCCTCGTAACATATAAATATATTGCATATACGTTTTTGTAAATTAATCGGGTGGTCCTACGTTATATTAAGTACTAGTAAACTGGATACATGTATTGACTGTGTCTCTCTTTTAGATATATGTATGTAATAAACACGTTTTAAAAAAAATGTTGTATTATATGGAGATAACGAACAGTGTTTAAGCTCAAAAGTCAAACAATACAAATCAGAAGCAGAGCAAACACGGACCTCTAACACATCAGAGGTGGGATCAGGTGACATGGAGGATTGAGCATCCACTGCCGACCGGTCACACCCGCCGTGTGCTCCTTGTCATGATCGGGAAATAACGGAAAATCTGTCGACAACTCAGTGTGTAAATAATGGCCTAACAATTAGTATGAAAAACGTCAGTAAGCGTTTGACTTAATGATAGATTGTATTTGCTGACAAGGTCATTGTATCGACCATAGAACTTGCCAAATGATGATTTTAAACGAGACTGTTGATATTCCTGTTTCATCAACTTGTTTGTAAATAGCTTGCCTCGTTAAAGAAATTGTTTGTACGTAGAGCATGCTCCTGCGTATCGAATCAACTGGGAGAGACACAAACCCCATATGCAGGTGAAAAGGGTATACTGGTACATAAATACGCGAAGTTGGCGATTAAAAAGTTGAAGTTATCACGTTGGTAGAACATTTACTGAAGCCCGCTTCGTTACTTTGAAAAGATTTTATCAAGTTTAGGATAGGTATGGTAATTCAAAATCATAATACATTTTGCATATTATTCCGAAATATTTTTGATATTTTACGTGCCAGGAAAACGTCAGAACCCACGCCATTACGAAAACTGGAAATTCGCCGCCTCCAACTGTTGATTTTCGATACTTGCGAACCAAATTGAATGTTGAATTCACAACTTATTAACAGTACAATTCCTTTAGTACTCACCAACATCGTTTTATGGTTTGTTTTATGAAATATACAGTCTGGTGAAAACATTTTATCAGACCGTCGAGTTTTCATTTCATGCATTTTAAAATCTTGCAAGATCTGTATCGAAATGTGGAGTGATATTTTCTTTTCATCGATATTGGTGAGTTCTAGAAGAATTGTGCTACTGATAAATTGTGAGTTCGGCATTTAATTTAGCTCGCAAGTATCGAAAATCAGCTCCGGTTGGAGACGGTGAAATTTCCAGTTTTCGAATTGACGCCGGTTCTGACGTTTTCCTGGCACGTAAAATATCAAAATCGTGAAAAAAGCCTGGAAAACGTCAGATACTTCGGACTATTTGCGTATATGAATTAAATAATGGATCACGGTCATAGGTGTTTGGCAAGCATATGTAAACCAAAGGTCGCTGGTTCCTGAGAGCCCCGCTGTGGGCATTGTTGTATGTATGTTATGTGGGCAATGTTGTATGTATGTTATGTGGGCATTGTTGTATGTATGTTATGTGGGCATTGTTGTATGTATGTTATGTGGGCATTGTTGTATGTATGTTATGTGGGCGTTGTTGTATGTATGTTATGTGGGCATTGTTGTATGTATGTTATGTGGGCATTGTTGTATGTATGATATGTGGGCGTTGTTGTATGTATGTTATGTGGGCATTGTTGTATGTATGTTATGTGGGCATTGTTGTATGTATGTTATGTGGGCATTGTTGTATGTATGTTATGTGGGCGTTGTTGTATGTATGTTATGTGGGCATTGTTGTATGTATGTTATGTGGGCATTGTTGTATGTATGTTATGTGGGCATTGTTGTATGTATGTTATGTGGACGTTGTTGTATGTATGTTCTGTCCTTAAACAAGACACTTTATCTTTACTGTCTCAGTCTACCAAGCTGTAAAAGGTACCGGCCTATACTGGGGGTTCACCTTCATCGGACCTGTGCTCCATCCAAGGAGACCTTAAGAAGACTCTCATCTGCTTGGCACTACCGACCAGATATCCTTCACCTTTCTGATGAGCCTCATGGCTCGTCGAAGAAGAAGGATTTTAAATTTCTAATACAAATTAATTGTTTTCCCTTTATTTTGAAAATATGTTATTATTTTCATTCATGCTAAGTAATTCTGATGTAAAATCGATGACTTTTATTTCTTTTATTTCAAATAAAATATCAAACAATAAAACAGCCATATGTCTAATGGTAAAATCACATTACTATGTTAACAGTACGGGAATCAATGTCTGTTCGTTTGAAATTCTAACCGTTATAAGCATTTTATCAATTCTTTTTGCTTTGCTACATCTATTTACCAAATCACTACATAGGATATGCATTTAATGCGTTGTATTCTAAGTCTTCAAGCAATTAAATCTTAAACTTAATTTATACAAATTAATTCAGTCCTGTTGGACAGGTAACACAACTGTCATTACAAGTCCTTGTGAAATGAGGACCTTATCATCCGGAAGTGACATGCGAGTTATCTGTCCTTAGTTGGCAGCAGTCCACCCGTATGAAATTCAGAGGCGTATTACGCCTGGACTTTTTGCAAATCCTGGCGTACAAGAGACGTATTCTTAAAAATACGGTTCATTTTCAGGCGTACACGTATTTTTGCCAGAAATACGTCTCCTTTTCTCCTGGCGTAAATTCTTAATCCAAGCGTATTTTTTTCTTAGTCTCTTTCGCACAGGGAAATAAAAACTTAGAAAATTTCAAAAGGCGTATTTTTGGAAATCCTGGTGGATTTTCTGACTTAGTCCTTATTATTAAGAGAGCTAGATAAAAATTTTACTTAGACAACAATCATTCTCCTTTATGTAACTATTGAGTTGCTTCTGTGATACATGTATTAAAATTAACCCCCCAAAAAGTATTTACTCCACATGTAAACATTGATTACATTACAATATTGCCTTTGTTGTATTCATCGTATTTATTAAAGCAATTAATTTTAGTAAATTATACTAATTTAATCTTAGATTACTGTGCCATTGATTCCCAAATAAAAAAAAAATGTTTAATATTATTTCTCTAAATAACTCAAATGATTTTATTTCTAACAAACTTAGTATATCCTTTCATGAATGTTTTAGTGGCTTAATAAAAAATAGCATTTAATTAAATGAATATTTAAGTCCTTAGTTTTAACAAAGCAATATAGCTGATGCTAAAAATAATTTTTCAATCAGTAATTGCATGATCAATGTCTCTATAATAAAACAAAATATAGATGGTATATTCAGATAATATTACATTACCATCTACTTTCTCTTCCCTAGTCTAACCAGTTGGGATTAGGCTAATTACTTACAGATGTGTTGAGCATGTTTAGGAACGACTTATCTGTAATGTTGTAAACCTTTCTAAGAACGGCTTATCAGTTTATATCCGGTTTCTCTAGGCAGTTCTATTATCCACCCTAATCTTTAAAATAAAAGTACAATTCATATAGAGAAAACATCTTGTGTAAACATAAATGAATTTTTGTTATTGTACTCTTTAACAATACAGAATTCTTTTTTCCTCAAATTTACATAATGTACTGATTAGATCTCTCATAAATGATAAAACCGTTTAGGTAACAAGGGGGTTATAAACAACAGCATTATTTACGTCCAAGTATTTGCGCCAATTTTAAACCACCAGGAAGGTCATGCCAGGAACAAAGAGATTGGAGAAAGCGGCAACGAAGCACAGATGGTGAAGAAGAGGTGATTATTTTGAAATACATTGCATAACATTGGATTTTTTTTTTACCTAAAACAATAAGACAGATGCATTTGCTTGATTTGCAGAGCCAGATGTTCATGATTGAAATGGGTCAGTATGACATTGAGTATGTTCTTATGTTTTTCTTTTTCCAGATCATAATCCATAGGATAAATCAGTTGGGCGATCTATTGAATGATGAAATAGTCCATAAATACTTGAATTTAAGTGAAGAAAAAATCTTGCAAGAATCAAATGACCAGAATTGCAGCATTTTCCATAGATGCATGCCAATGAACTGCAGCTGTTGAGTAGAGCATCAGGAATAAAGTGTATTTTCAATGCCAAGAGTTATAAAACATGAAAAACATCTTTTTGTGAATATTTCTAGGAAAATGTGATTGGAGAATATAATAAGAAATGTGAATGACAAAATTGCTTGTGAATTGCATCTTTTGTGTCAAATAAGGAGTACAGAGAATGGCAGGATTAATTGGCATGATTCTCAATAAAGTGATTTCACTGTGATTATTGGAATGTTGCAACTGCTGACTAAAACTAATATGTCAATCTTGTAGGTTAAAATACTGTGAAACAGGAAAAGTTAATGTAAATCTAACGTGATGTGACTGTGATTTGAAACAGTAAATGTTCGATTCTGATTTTTAATCATTTCTCATTCACATTTAAGCACACTGAAAAGTATTAATAAAATAAAACTTTTATCTTTATGTTGGTTGTAGTCACCATAGCTGTGATAATATTTAATTTGAAATGAATATTTAAGGCAGGTGTATTTTTTATACAGGCGTATTCATTTTACGGGTGTATTTATTTTACGGGCGTATTTTTTTTTTACGGGTATGCTTGATATCTAGGCGTAATTCTATTGTTAAAATTTCCAGGCGTATTTTGAATTTCCAGGCGTACTCATTTACATATTTCGGCTAAAAATACGGTAGGATTACGCCTCTTGTACGCCTGTATTTCACTTTATACGCCTGCTTTTATGTATTCATTTTAATGGAGAATTCACCAGGATTTTAAGATTATAATACGCCTGGATATTTTTTGAAAATACGTGACTAAAATTTCGTACGGGCAGCTTCATAAGGAGGTGGTTGATCGCCAACACCGGAAGTGGACCCATATCCTGTAAATATGAGAAACTTTAGAGTTAAGGTAATCAATAGCTGCACAACACTGATCTGATTGTTATGTTGTGAAGAGTATGATAAAATGGTAAAATAAATAAACAGTTTGGACTTAATACAACACAATATATAACGCTAAGTTAAAAAGTAAAGGCTTTACATCACAGCATAAGGCAAAGTAAATAAGGGCTTTATACATCAAAACAGTGCGGTAACTTGAAGAGTTATATATTGTGTTATATGATCAGGAACGCCTGGACGTATGCATTACGTTCTTGTTTGTTAGATAAAGTCCTGGAGGTTTAACCTAACCGTTATGTTGTATATGATAAAATCCTGAGAATTTTAACTCAGCCATTATGATGTGTTGTATAAACATTACCTTTATATTGTGTTAGATAAAGTCTTGGGTGTTAAGCTTACCGTTATGTTGTATAAGATAAAGTCTAGATAGATTAACTTACCACTGTGCTGTGTAAGATAAAGCTCTGATAGTTTAACTTACCGTTGTGCTATGTTGGTTAAAATCCTGATAGTTTAACTTACCAATATGCTGTGTAAGACAAAGTCCATTTAGTTGAAATTACCATTATGTTGTCTAATATAGAGTCCTGATAGTTTAACTTACCGTTGTGTTGTGTTGGATAAAATCCTGATAGTTTAACTTACCGTTGTGTTGCATAAAATCCTTATAGTTTAACTTACCGTTGTGTTGTGTTGGATAAAATCCTGATAGTATAACTTACCGTTATGCTGACCTGATAGTTTAACTTACCGTTATGTTGTGTTGGATAAAGCCCTGGCTGGGCAGGACAATTGGCCGTATACCCTGGTGGATATGGTATTGACGTATATGTATAATTAGAGACAACTTGACCTCCAGCTACAAAAGTAAAAAGAAAACTTACAATCACAGAATAACAAGAATTATATAGATACCAATCTCAAAGAATTTCAATACTCTGCATCGCACCTGCTGGTGGCCATTGATGAGATCCGCCACTTCCGGCTACAAAGTTAGGATTAGAAATTCCCTGGTTGTTGCTGTTGAGAAGGATCTGTTCGTCTATTTGTCTGTTACATTCTGTAACCAAGGAACACAGCCGACATCCGTCGATAATCCACCCAAGCCCAAACAAACCGAAAGTAAAGAAATACAGGCAGCCCCACCCTGGTCTGTTCAGGTAGAAATGATGAAGTCCGAGAAACCCAAGTGGAAACCACAGAAGATAAGCATCATCCAAATGTTTGTGGGAAATGAAGCCCTTGCTTTTACTCTTGTTGTATCTTTGAACTAATACTGGGAAGCGGCACCAGTCAACAATGTATCCAACACCAAGAAGTCCAAATGTAAGCGTGTAGGCGATCCCAAACCCTATCCTATTGAGGTAATAATGGTGAGCGCCGAGGATCCCCGCAGGAGAAATGGTTAATATGCAAGTAGTAGCTGTGCTTTTCTCTTGAGAATCTGGGATGTTGGAGTTTGCTTTTCTAACGTGATACGGCATTAAGAAAGCATCAATAACCCATCCGACACCCAGTAGTCCAAATGTGAAGAAGTATACAACACCCAGACCGATGTTGTTCAAATAAAAGTGATGAAGTCCTGGGAAAAAAACATGACGTTAGAAGAAGAAAATCGAATATAAACTTCTATAAATCATAGAAAAAATGGTAGCCCTAATCCTTAATACGAGAGAGAGAGAGAGAGAGATGCAAATAAAGCTCTGGCTGAAACACTGCACGTGTTAACAATTCTTACCCAAAAAACCCGCAGGTAGCCATAGTACATAAGCATCGTCTAGGTTTTTCTTTTTCTCCTCGGTTGTCTCCGGGTGTGACGCTTGTTTGTTACAGCGAGCCACCAACAGAGGGAGCCTAAACAGATCAATCACCCACCCACATCCCAGAAATCCAAGCGTGAAAAAGTACACGACACCCCATGCAGGGCGCCTCAGGTAGAAGTGCTGCGCTCCAGTAAATCCCAGAAGGAGAGTAAGAAGGTACGCCTCAAAAATTGATCGCTTTGGGACTGGGGCCGGTATGAATGTGACAGGGTGATTAGTATTGTACCCAACATACAATATTGGAGGTTGCTGCAATTGTGACGTCATTGATGGGTTTTGTGGCTGTGTGTATGTTGGAAGTTGAGAGTTTATGTACTGTGGTTGGTTTTGTTGATAGGCGCTATGTGGTTGTTGGTAGCCTGGCTGGGGTTGCGTCCCTTGGGGTTGCTGCTGAGTCCCAGGAGCATTAGGGCTCTGTTGACGTTTTTGAAGTGTTTCTTTCTCAGTAGACATTCTGTCAAAACACATAAAACACTAGAAATAATGCAAAATCTTTACATGATAATTTTCATTTTACTTGCAGTTATTTTTATTATTTACATCTATTTATTTACTACGTGTATTCACATGTAACATGAAATGAAGAACACCTATTACATAACGATGCTGTATTAGATGTGCGTTTAAAAATAAAGGACAAGGTACGGTTTCTATACAAATCTGGCCATATTTTTTCTAAAGTAGGAAAAAGAAGTTAGAAATTAAAACTTGTGCTCTCTGAATCGTTAAAATCCCATGCAGTACTTTAGATCAAACAGGTTGCTTTTTTCATATGACCTCCTAAGTTGAAGGAGACAACAATTTTCAGTGGAATTTTCTTTCAATTAATATAGACCACATGCATCAACCACAAAGACTTTGAGAAAAACGAGTTTTCAAACAATTTTACACAACATTTTCCAAAATTGAGGTGGGCGACGGCTGCGGACACCATTTTACTAAGGAAAATCATGCCTTAAATGAGCCATTTTGAGGCTTTTTAAAAATGTATCAAATTAATGACGTCATATTTCCAGAATGGTCCTCCTTCATGCCATATTCTTTCATGATTTATCACATTCATATACTAGACTCATATTTAAGCCATTATGAAAACTTTTTGAAAATATTAAATTTCTAGCACACAATAAAGCCAAAAACGTACCAAAACGGTAAAACCGTACCTACTTCTTTTCAATCGAATTCTGTATATGTACGCAAGAATGATTCAAAGCAAGAAAATAATGAATAAATGAAAATATAAATAAACAGATATTCATAACTTAATTAACCTTTATAAAAAAAAAATATATAATTGTTACGTTTAAAAGAATAAATAACAATAACACAAATTTGATGCATGGATTGGTATATATTTTTTTGACTGATTTTGAATAGAATGGCATAATAAATTCTTAGAATATAAAGAAATTGTAATTTTTTTTTTTTGTGTGTGTTCAAATATGTGACTTTGTGCAATTTTCTCTATACAAATGTTTGCACCCATTGAAGACATTTTTATAAAATCTTACAAAATTTCTACATTTGCTTTGGATAGCATTATTGAAAATATCTATGTGAACATAAATCATTACATATATTGCTGATTTCTGAAAAAAAAAGTTGTCCAAGTGTTTCTAATTCATTCACTCTTATTTTAAATCTTATAGGAATTAAAGTTCTCTCTTTGACATTGGTTAAAGGACAATGCATGCACATGATAAATAAAATTCCAATTACTTCTTATAGTATACATTTTAAAAAAGTATATAATAGCCTTAGTACTGTTATTTTTAATATTTTATTTTTATGATAGAATCATTCATGCATTTCATTCACTTTTTTGTTAACAAATTAAAATTTGAAGAGATGCACAGGTTTACAAGTTATTAAAATAACTACAGTACATTACGTATAGTGTGCTTATTTAAATACTCAGGTAAATATTGATGTGACCGTCTTACCTGGCCAGAAGGCGCTGTTGACAGACGGACATCCTAATGCAGGTACTTTAATATTCCAAGTCACAAGACAAATGTGACGTCACAACCAGACTGGAACTTCAACGTTTTCTTTCTTCTTTTTTTTTATCTGCATACATATTGGTAACTACCGCGTGATATTGACCATGTTGACATTTTGTTCTATTTTTAAACCCTCGACAGAGTCAGGTGATGCAATCAATAGGCGCGGATCAACAAGGAATGGATTTCGCAATGCTATGTTTAATTTACTATTTACATGTTTTGCATGCATGAAAAGGAAAAATATGTTGTTGTTGTTGTTGTTGTTATTGTTTTTGTTTTTTGTTTTGGTTATATACGTAAATTAATTATAACAGACAATTCAAAAGCGGTTTGAAAAAAAAAAAAAGAAAACAAGAAAACGCATGCAAATGTTAGCAGTTAAATAGTAAATTTCAGTTGTTGTAAAAGGCAGGAAAATAGTATTTAAATGCACAAATATCTTCAGTATGGAACTTAAATGTATGAAAACATCATATATTTTTTTTCTACAATGCAGATACACGTACAATATTCGCAGTCGCTTGATAAACGCTGTCCGACAGTCAATCCAACAGTTTTTCAGACTTTTTCTTTGGCCTTTTTCCAAGCTGTATACCTTGATGAGTTACAGATAACTTCTTGTTTACATTTCTTTCAGATACCGTATGCTTTTTGACGGAATGACGACCCCTGCACTTAGAGAATTTACTATAATTTACGGGGTCTTCTTGGATTTTTTTCTTCAAACTGGTTGCCGATACGGTTTTTTTAAGATGCATGTATGATGGAGAGTTTGTATGTTGTTTAACGTCCCTCTCGAGAATTTTTGACTCATATGGAGACGCCACCACTTGCCGGTGGAGAGCTGCAAATTTTGTCCTATACTCGTCACTTACGGCCATTGAGCAGTGAGGGATCTTTTTCGTGCCAACACCTACTGCGACACGGGACCTCGGTTTATACGGTCTCATCCGAAGGACCGCTCTCCACGTCCCACAGTGGGATTCGAACCCGGATCAACTCCTTACTCGTGGGTTTCCGACGATACATTCTGATCAGGCACCTGGATCATGAAACAGACTTAGGACCTATAAGTCAAAATATCAATCTACAGTGTATATAAGAGGTTTATAAGTTGTGATCCGGAACTCTTCATTTACAGACAACAACAGTTGTTAAACAACATCATATATATTTTTTGACTGTTTGACGTCTAAAGCGGCAAGGTCAATCGTTTATTAATTTTTTTTGACAGAATAATATGGCTCTTGAACGCTTCACCTTCGAAAGATGTCAATAATTTTTCTCCGCCTTCCCTTTTAACGGGATCTACACTATACAAGCATGCATATACAAATATATACATACATATATATATATATATATATATATATATATATATATATATATATATATATATATATATATATATATATATATATATATATATATATCAGAAAGAAAAGGCCAAGGGACCACTATGCTCACTTGAGTCACCTTGACCTTGCTGTTTCCTCTTTAATAGCATAAATATATTTACCCCATACATACTGACACCAACTATTACGGATTTGAATAATTAAGAATCTACCCTATGTCAGGTACCAAGGGTAACTCACGTTTGCTTCTCCTTGCATGATTCTCTATATAATGAGCTTGTGGACTTGATCCGTTGTGTGTCAAAGGATGTCAGGAAGGTCTCACGTATTTCTTCTCTGCCCAAGTGGTTCTTGAGATTTTTAATGGCCCCATCCTATGTTTACCTTTTGCTCCATTATCTTCCTTTGGAAGAGAGCATGGCCCTTACTCCGTGTTCTTTTGTGTTCCCTTTTACCCAAGGATACTCTGTGTCAAGTTTGGTTAAAATTGCCTCAGTTGTACTAATTAAGAAATCAATGTGACTGGCGGCCAGGTGAGCTAAAAATCAAAATATCAACAAAAACAAATGATGTATTTAATTTTTATTTGTCAAGAGTTATGCAGGAAAGGCATTGCATTTAAAACAGAAGTACAAAAAAGGGAGATAACTACACACTGACACAGCTCATAAGCAAGAATACATATCAAAAGCTAAAAATCAAAGAAAAAAAAATTAAAAATTGATTCTAATTAACTTCGTTCAATTAGATAAATAACAGAGAAATCTCTTATAAAATTTAAAAATGGCTTCATGAAGACAACATCGACATGTAATATTGTTCACCTTTAAAGTTAGCTATAATTCCGGTTCCAAAAAAGAGACACTTAGCTCTAAACGAAGTTCCGTTACCTACTTTACTAAAAATAAATAATAAATACTGACCTTACTTATGACTTTATGTTTCAGAAAGTGATCGAATGATAATTGAAACTAATGGACGGAATTAAAACAGTGAGAAAACACATAAAAACAAAATCAGACGCATAAAAACAAACCCCTCTCGATAATGTCGCTCAAGCCAGTCACGTTTTCTAAATTGAAGGATACACCAAAATTCATTGAGTGTAGTATTTCAAGTGAACCATTCAAGAACATGTGTTTTCTTTAAGGTTCATTGTCATATAAATTTATTATTTTATATCACACAATTTTTCAGAAATCTTTTCTATAATTAAATTTTAATACACCTTGCAAGGTAAAATTTGACAGAAATGGCATTTTAAGTTGAAAAATTTATAAAGGAATAATACACTTTAATCTCAATTAGAATTATCTCTCTAATCAGAGGGTCCGTGGACCTTATTTCATTTGTTGCATAGAGGCTTTACACATATAACATTATGTATTGGTAATAATAAATTATAGACTTGTTAGTGATGTCATTAAATATCATCATCAAGTACACACCAGCAAACAATACACTAGAGAATCATAATAACTGGAGAACGTTAGAGATATTTAATCAACAAAGATGTTATATTTATGTTAGAAATGTGTTGCTATCTGACACGTATATATAAAATTTGAAATATTCACATGCATTGTTGAGTTTTAAGAAGCCAATAGTTTACTGAACACAGCTGTCGTTACAAGCCGGGGGAAATGATTTCTGACATATTTTCTATTCATAAATTAACAAGTACAGTTAAACCTCGTTACCTCGAACTCGCAAGTCTCGAGCAATGCATAGATTCGAGATAACAAGGTTAAAATAAGTAAAGGAAAAGTGGCTGGGATCTCACTTCAGAATAAACATGGTATTTGAAATATCGATGTTTGAGATACCGAGGTTTAACTGTAATCATAATGCAGATTTTTAAAATAGAAATAGAAAACATGTCAGCAAAACAGGACACACAAATCAAATGAAACAATACAAAATTGTGATGACAACAACTTACTCACTACACTATAGAATACATATGTAGATAATTATATTATATATCTGTGTTATAAATAATAATAAATTAAAACTCTAATTTACTGAACGGTTTGGGATATTGTAATAGAAATCTTGTACTACACAGTGTCTGTACCTTGAAACCCCCACCCCCACCCCCAGCGACGTTCTTTGTTTTCCTCATGACAATACATGACGTGTCAACTCTAATTAAAAAAAAATATCCAAACCAGGTAAACATGACTTCATAAAAATTTCTTCATATATAACAAAAAATAATTTTACTCTATTGAAAATCACTTTAAACAAGCAAGATAAAATTTATAAAACAAAAAAAAAAAAATGTTAAAACTTAAGTCTACAAAATTCTATCTGGAAGCAACTTTTTTCTTCAATATTTTTCTTTTTAATGTTTTTCTATTGTGCATGTTTAAGAAGTACCCTATTAAAGTAAAGACTTTGAGAATCAAAAATAAATTTGTAGTGTTCTTCAAATACATTTTACTTTTCTGTACATTTTAGACTTTCCCTTTTAGAAGTTTCCTTGCCATTCGTTAAGTTCCCCCCTGTGGCCCCTGCAAGTGAATGAACTAACCCTAAAACAAGATAAAAATACAATATCCCCCTGGGGCCCCCACAAATGTAAACAAGATAAGAAAACAATATCCCAGTCTAAATGCATAAAATCACAGAGGAAGGATGAGATCAAGAAAAAGGAATTAGCAAGTACAGTTTAAGGATGTGTGCCCCTCCCCTGTGCCTCCTTACCGCAGTTTAAGGATGTGTGCCCCTCTCCTGCCCCTTCTTAAGGACCAACTGAAAGTTCAAGAAAACATAAGGGCACATGTCTTAACCACTTATAAATAACTTTCATAAAGTCTACATATTGTTTTCCTCAGAATTCTCATAATACAATCATTCAGTATGCAGACTCTGTGGATTTTTCCTTCTCATCACCCCAACCCCCAATGACACAAACAGGTTGTCCTCTAAGAAACACTTTACAAGCAAGTATAATTTGCAAGGATAGGGGTTTTCTGATTTGTATCTCTTCTTAAAATACATTTAAGGAGGAATGCCTCTCTGCAAAGGGAGGCAACTCTTTGAAAGTATTCTTTATCAACAATGATTTTACTCCAATTTTTCCTCATATGTTATAGTTCTTTTGCTCGTTTCATTTTTTGATCCTCTACCAGACTCGGCATTTCACTGAGTAGAAAAGGACCTTTACCCTTAAAGGGGTTTCAGAGAGGGGGACTGGCTGTTGGGAGGGACACAATTCATACAAAAGCAAGAATATATATGCAATTAAATATAGCACTATCAATTAAATTATTCTAATTATCAACAACTACTATAACTATCTACTATAACAAGAGAACACAGAGACTCATGTCTAGGACATGGCTTCACAAACAACATGACTCTATAAATAACCTGAACACAATCATTATAGTCTACAACAAGACCTGTTTACAATGCTGAAGGATTTTTGTTCAACTTGTTTGTTCAATTTACTACATGCTAAATTCATGGTTAAAAAATGTCTGCATTTTTTTCCCCATTTTTAAAAATTGTTTTAAAAAAAGTTTTGTTCATTGCTATAAGGGTTTCATATTCATGCATGATTGAATGGTTGGGGTGAAAACTTAAGCTGCTTTACAACATACGATTAGAGAAAAAGTGCTTCAGTGACGAAGAAAAATGAAATTAAACTGGCCATGACTGGGGGATAAAATATCAATTCCTACACAAAACACTGAATTCTCTTCACACATATTTGTAAGAGTGGTTTCTGATGGTTAATAAAAACATGAAGTTCAGGGTCCCTAAACCGGTTTTACCTTCTGTATAGATTTTAACTGTTAGAGGGAAATACTTCACCTACAGTAGAACTTGTCTAGTCCTAATGTTGTGTATTCTGAAATCTTGACACTATGATGTAAATTTTTAATCCCTTTCATTATTTTTAATTGCTTAATAGAAGGTTTTTAATCCAGAGTGTTGTCTATTTGCTTAATTTCTAAGGAACCAGTGGTGTCTGGATTAGACAAGTTTTACTGTGAAATAATTTTTTTTTAAAATGTAAACAAACAAAACACTTAGGCTAAGTGTGTTCATAATCTGGCACACTAACAAACTGATTTTTTTTTCTCAAAAAACCACTGCAATAATAATAAAAAAAAAACACTATTGGATAACATATATGCGTGTGTAGTCTTGACGTACACAAAGCATTCAACATTTAAAAAAATAAAAATTGCCACTCATGAATTCTTTTGATCAAGGATTATTACTGTAGTACATTGCTGTATAATTTTGTCATTATAACACATCTAAATCAAAAAATGCCCAGCATTACTGTATTAGTCTATAATACTCATTACCATCTTATTTGTAACTTCCAGGATAGGGGAATTTATCAGTTTTTGAAATTTCTCCTTTTTTTTTTCTTTACCCAAAGATACTTGAGAAATTTCTGTGCAGGCAGAGCATAATAAAAAATCAACTTACACAACCCTACATGTAGAGGTACAACTCAGATATGGAAAATAATGTATGAACCCTAAAATTAAAAAAAAAAAAAAGAGAAGAAAAATGTGCTCTTTAAGCTTTTAAAATCCTGACTCTCCAAGCATTGGCAAACTGTTTCACACATGGCATTAATAACCTCCATAACAAAAAATTCAAAATCATAAACATAGTACAATAAAATGAAAATTGTAAACGTACGCTAAAATATCCAAAATGATAAAAAAAAAAAATTGTATGATTGTGCGATAAAAGAAATTTAAAGAAATCATTTTTCACATACACAATAACAGTAAACTTAATAACACATCAGCATGTCTGAAGGGTGTATGTATATATATAGAAAATCTAGCACCACTACTGCGCAGCACTTTTAAAAATAGAATCCCCTCCATTTAAACCTACATTTGGCAACAAATACTTAAAATCAATTAAACTGAATCACAGTCAGCTTAAAGAATGTTGCATATTCAAGTTGTTACACAGCAAACAAATTGAATTCATACATTTTATAAAAAAAAATGTAAGGCCTTATGCAGTTGTTACTCTATAACCATGAACAATAAAATTCCTCAAAAGTAGGAAAATTTATCCTAAAAATATAACATTAATAAAGAAATGTTTCACTCATGCAAAATTCAGAAATTTCCACAAATGATAGGAAAAAAAGCTTAAAATATATAATTTCATAATATTTTCCCAAAAGTATTTTTAAAATCATTTGGTCCTAATAAAAAAAAAATGCACTAAAATCAACACCTCTCAAACATCAAATTTCTTGCCTTTTCTCTGACCCGAACTCAAAATTGTCTGCAAAATACTGACTATCCACTGCTTTCAAATCATCCAAGGTTGCCTGGAGGTCGTCTCCATTTAAGTCATGCCCCAGCATTTCATTCAGGTTCCGTCTTGCAGTGAATTGGTCACCGAACCCTGGCTCCTTATCCCCCTCACCCTGGTGTGTCATATCTAACATATCTGATGATAGACTCACATCTCTCTCAATGTTTTTGTATGCTACGATTCCCTCGATATCAAACATGTTGACATTTGGCTGGTCACCCTGGTAATTGACATCCGGAAGCTGAGACAGGGACTGAAGCTTACTCTGACCTTGACCTGGATACTGAAGGTCAATCGGAGAAGTAAGGTCACCCAATATTTGCTTTATACTCTGATTTCTCTTAGTTGTTTTTTCATTCACTTTTTTATTTTCCGAGGCATGAGTTTTCTTAGACAGCTGGGCAAGCTTGTCTGAGAAGTAATATGATTGGCTGCTTACTGTTCCCGAAAGTGGGGGCCCAGACAGAGTGTGGTCATCTGTGAGGTTCAATAAGGGGGTTTGTAAAGTTTTAAATGCCCCCTGTTTGTTCCCTTTCTTAGACTTCCTTTCCATGTCTTGCATAGCTGCACTGTAAGATGGTGGAGCTTGTTTCATGGTTTTTGATTGGATGGTTTCATCATCAATCACTTCACCTGTAACAACTTGTCCTGCCATGGCACTCTGTGAAATTTGACTGGCAATTGTCACAACTGGTCTAATAAGTGTCACTGAGCTATTGTCTATCTTTAATGATGAACCTTGTATAGGCATAAAAGACTGGATGGGCAAACCCTCACTATGGGCCGGAGCTTGGTTTGGAGTTACACAAGGAGACTTGAGATGATATGGTGTAGATGTCTGGAATCGTGGTGATGTCATAGGACTGGGAATGATTCCGTCACTGGTCACGCTGTGGGCAGAATCTGGTCGACATACTGAGAATGAAGTGCTGGACATAGAACTATATGTGGAGTCGCACACATGTGTTCCCGTAGAAACAAGCACTGAGTGAAGAATTGGACTGGGACCTACACTCCCATAACCTGGATCAGAATGGGGAGTCTGGACCATGTTCCGCTCCACTGAATATTCTCTCTGGATCATGTTCCGCTCCAGCGAGGATTCCCTCTTTCTAAGTTTCTCCACAGAGGGAGTGCGCTGTCTCCTGATTGGTCGCTGAGGACTGGCAAATTCCACTCCCCCTGTGGCCGTTTTCTTTGTGGTTTGCTGGTTTTTGTTTGTGCTATTCTGAGTAGGCATCTTATTTGGGGCTGTTAGTTGACTATCCAACATACCCCTGGAAGCATCAGTAACTGACTGTGAACGATACGGAATGCGGAAGGGATCTTCGTCCTGTGTGGGTTTCTCCATCCCTGATGACACTGGTGTAAGGAGGAGGTTCTTGGCCGAGTGAGATCTCTGTGGAAATGAAGAGAGAGTGGGGGACGGGGCAGGTTGAAGAACTGAGGGGTTACACGGAATGTTTTGCAGACTTTTACAGATTTCCTGGACAACCTCCTGCCGAGATAAGCTGCGAGATTTGACAGGATCCATGGTCACCTCCATTTGCTCACTGAGATGAGCCTGTGTCATGCTGTCAGTGATAAACTCAGCTACATCTGGAGGAAGCTCGCTGTCCTGAATTTCCTCTGTCTTCTCTGTCTGAACTGTTTCCTTTAACTGGAAAAAGGATTTCATTCTTTCATCTAATTTTGGTTTTTCTTCAAGTAGCCTCTGTTGAGATTTTCTCAAGGAAAGGGAGGTCACTCCCACACCAGTGTCCTGCTTTTGCTTACAGAGTTCCTTCCCCTTCTTGATAATGTTGGACGGATCGGGAATGCAGACATCTTTAAGTGCATCAGACTCTAGCACAGAAATGTCCGGATAATTTCGTTTCTCTGCTAATTTCAATTTGTCATCAAATGCCCTTGAAACCTCTCTTTGGGAATATCTCTCCTTATCATCTAAGCTACAGGACATAGCTCTCCTGTCGTCTTCCATCGTGAAGTCCGTATCCTCCTCATGACTGGAAACTCTCTGCGCATGTCTTTCTATAAAGCTGCTTCCCTCTATGGACTGGGAGCTGAACAGCTTTCTCTTACGACCAAGAATGGAAGGCGTTTCACGATCCACAGAACACCTGCTTCCAGGTCTGGAGGATACATTTTGATCACTGTCTACAATTTTTGCGAGCTTTGATGGTTTTTCATCTCCAACAGAAGAATCCGAGAGATCAGAGCTATTCAGGTTGTCCACAGTGCTGGGACTTGTTATTTCATATTCTGATAAAGAGGCTGTGCGACTCCGCTCTCTCCTCTGACCAGGATCCAGTGTGGAGCTGGAGCACTCCACGGATCTGTGACTGGATGCTGTAGTTAGTGTTGTTGTTACAGACGTCACAGACTCACTTGTCAGAGAAACCTTGCCTAATCCAGGGTTGACTGGGTTCAGAATTATAATGTATTCACCATGTGGATTTTCTCCACTTGGAAGTGGAAGTGATGTGGCTGGTACTGCAGTAAGTGCACCCACACTGGCCACACCCACTGCAGAAGCTGGGACCACTGTAGTGGATACTGAAAACTGCATCTTAGCTTCTCTTTCTCGTTTTTCTTTCAGAAGTGTAGACACTGACTTGGACCTGTCAATCTTCTCGGAGTCTGGTTTTTCGGGGTATTTCTGTTCTTTCAGTATGGAGGAGACAGTTTTTGCAGGCGAGCCTTTTGGACGTATTGGTGTGAACCTGGACCGGTTTTTCTTTGGAGTGGTTGGTGACTGAGGTTCCGCTTGAGCTGCTGTTCCGGTTGACTTGACTGGAGTGGAGGGAAGATTTGAGCTCAGTGTTATTGGGACTAGCTGGTTTTGAGAATCCTGTGGATCTGAACTGGTTGGCAGATTTAACATGTTAGGTCTTGGTGTCATAATGATGAACTGTTTTCCATTCTCTGTGATTAAAATAGTTTGAGCCTTGTCTGCCAGACAGAGATTTCCATCTGGATCTGAAAAAATATCCTGATCATCATCTGGATTATCTTTCCTGACTTGTGAAAATGGAACAAATGCACTGCGGTTTGAGACAGACGTTTTGGGGATGGTTTGCTGTTCCTTTTGAAGGAAGCTGAGTTGTGGAGATGTTGTGGATGGAAGGGTTGGTTTTGAGCTGATTGGTACTGATATGGATTCAATGACACTAGGAGCAGAGAAGGATCCAGATTTTAAATCTGGATTCTGTTGTTGGTGATCTGGAGATGCACTTAATTGTACATTCACAACACTAGGAATCACTCCTATATCCTGTTCAGAATTGATAAGAAATGATTGATGGACAGTCTCAAGATTTACCTGAGAATGCCCAGTGTCTTCTGATGGATGACAAGCAACCTGTGCTATTTTTACATGCTGAGCCCTATCTTCTAACATAGAAGAATCTCCTCCTGCACAAAGAGGTGGCAGTTGAAATATAGACTCCTCCGACAATAGAGAAGTCATAGGAATGGATTTCTCACTTCTATCACTTTTTAACTCTGGAAGTCTTTCTATAACTTCCATTTCTTCCACTTTACTCTCTCCCATCCTCCAGCTTTCTTCCCTCGCCTTCTCACTCTGAATCACCAAGTCTTCCACCGTCATCATCTCCATTGTAGAATCAGACTCTGAATTCCTCCTCAACTCGGAGTCTACAGACATCCTTCCCATAATGCCTTGGTCCAAATTTATCTGGTCCTCCTTCACCACTGATCCTTTTGATGACTGTAGAGTCACCTCCTCCCCTGAGCTGGTTCCCCCTCCTTTTTCTACAGGGTCCTGTGGTGTAACAGATTTGGTCCTTTTCCTTCGGGAGGATGACGTGGATCTCTGTCGTTGAGGCCTGACTCCACACAGCTCCTGAATTGATGACCGACCTGAGTGTGTCCTCATCTCAGTGTCCTCTGTTTCCTCAAAAATTTTACGAGGAGATACGAGTTCCTGTAATAGTAATGGAAAAGCTATCAAATTTCTACTACATGTACAAATAATCATTTTTTTTTTAGATATAGAATCTTGGAATATATTATATACAGTAAAACATGTTTACAGCAACATGCCAATAATAAATTGATGCTTACGGTGAAGCAATTTTCATTCCTCTTGGCTTTAAAATATATTGTGAATTTAAAGGATATAACGAATTATGTTTATAACGAAGTGAAATTGTCCGTCTCTGGCACTACATTATAAGCATGTTTTACTGTAATACATAATTGAAAAATATTGTCACATTTTGGTGGCAATTTAAAACATTTTTTGACAAATACTTCATTGTCAAAACAATGTTTTTCCTTCTAAAACCAATTATCACTACACTGTAGTAAAACAGATTATTCATTTGATCTATGGGAGAATTTCCACCTTAAATGGATGTACATGTAAGAGATGTGACCTGTGGTTTGTGTAATGTAATACCTATGGTGTTGTGATATGTATCGTATTGTACAGGGCACGTACATGTGGTGTTATAGGGGAGGTATTCTGTGATATGTATCGTATTGTACAGGGCACGTACACGTGGTGTTATAGGGGAGGTATTCTGTGGTATGTATCGTATTGTACAGGGCACGTAAACGTGGTGTTATAGGGGAGGTATTCTGTGGTATGTATCGTATTGTACAGGGCACGTACACGTGGTGTTATAGGGGAGGTATTCTGTGGTATGTATCATATTGTACAGGGCACGTACACGTGGTGTTATAGGGGAGGTATTCTGTGGTATGTATTGTATTTTTACAGTGAATATACAGCATGTAGAATTATAAGGGAAGTGTCCTGTGGAGTATATTTTAGGTATTACTGTTGCGTACTGTACAATGTACATATTATCTTTTTTTTAGTGTCTGGGAGTGGTGTACTACTGTATATTTTAGTGTAGTGGTTTGGTGTACTACTGCAGTACTGAAGGAGACACATGTGGTTTGTTTTGTGTTGTACTACCTGTGGTGTTTTAGAAGAAAAGTTCTGTTGAGTGCATTGTGGTGTACGTAATACATGAGATATTGCAGGAGAGGGGTCAGGGCTTAATTGACCATTTTTGGTAAAGGGTCCTGTACCCTTTCAGTTGGGAATTTTTTCTATTAAAATAGCGGCAAAATTTGGAAATACTGATGACTTGTATTACGTTTTACTTAAGAAATAAGGTATCATTTTTAAAAACATCTACTGGGATATAAATAGGGGTTGGTCACGAGATCAAATTCCATGAAGCCCGAAGGGCTTTATGGTAAATTTGATCTCGTACCAACCGGCATTTATATCCCGATAGATGTTTTAAAGTGATACCTTATTACTTATATTTACATTTGTGACTTAATCATATTATATATTAGCCTGATTATAACATTTACCGCATGAAATGTTTTATTTTTTCAAACTCAACAGCACAAGATTGATCTATTGATTGCGCGTCGACCCTTTATGACGTCACTGAGAAATTACGTCGAACGTTTATGACGCGAGGAACCCGTGTTTATACGGATATAGATACGCGTTGCTTTTAATAGTGTTATATAAAAGAAAACATCTGCAAATGTAAATATTGTAAAATAAAGAGTAAGGTTGTAGATTCATTCCCAGATTCACATCTTAATGATTCATTTATAATCTCAAACTTCAATTTTTTTAAAAAAAAAATTTTTTTATAGAAAGCATTCAAAAATTTAATCTGCTTGTCATTTAGGAATTTTTTTTACACATTTTGGAAAAAAAAGAGTCAATTTTCAATTGGGACAGGGTCCCATTACTGAACCTGGATGTAATCGATATTAAACCCTGGGTGTTCTACCTATTGTATTAGAGATGTTGTGTGGTGGTTTGTTGTGTACTACGTTACCTGTACTGTTGTATTAGTGTTCTCTGGTGTACTACCTGAAGGGTTGTATTTATTTAATGGTGTTCTGAGGTATGTAATGTGGTGTAATTCCTGTGGAGTTATGGGAGATGTGATCTGAGGTGTAGTATTTGTTGTTTTCTTTTAGTCGTGTTCTGTGGTATATATTGTGGTGTACTACCTGTGGTGTAGTGGGAGATGTTATCTGCGGTGTCTGTCTATCCTGTCTCTGTCTCGTTATATTCTCCTCCTTCATCTGCTGTAGTTTCTTTTTCTGTCGCGTCACGTTCTCTCGTTCATGGAGTTTCCTCTGTAATTGTAGCTGGGTCTCTCTGTGTCGATCTCCTCCTGTTGTGTTGGAGAACATGGATGGTGCTGAAAATCATAAGGTATTACATAAATACACTAAACTAATATGTAGTATTTCCAAAATCTAAATGTTTATTATTTACTTCTGGGTATTTTTTATTGTGATAACTGTATACAGGGTTATTTTCACCCATAGTTTAATATTTATGCCCTTTTAATTTCTTCTTGCTCACAACTTAGCCCCAATTTGATTTCACCTGGACACAGTTATGTTTAAGAGATAAAACTGTTTACATTGAATTTGTCATGTTTTAAATTTGCCTTCCAGTGATCAGGGTCGTCCCTAAGAAATGAAGTAGAAGGGGACATTTAAAAAGTAGAAGGGGATCTGGGGTTCCTCACCTAATTGGGAGTTTAGGAGGAATGCCAAAATAACCGGGGGATTACATCATTATAATGATAACCCGGCCCCCGGGTCTTAGGGACAATCCTGTGTGATGAAGGTGAAAGAGGCAAAAATATTTTCCTCTCTACAGTATTAATCTACCTGACTCTCAAACTGATAAACATGATATTTTTTCTCACCATTTGCGATCCACAAACATCTGTTATATATTCACAATGTAAATTGCTGTCTCATATCTTGACATATTAGCATCTGTCAACAACTGTATTGAAACTACATGCTTCAACGAAAAATTCCTCTTCTTCTGAGTAAACTTTGCAATAAAATATAAATAAAATATAAATAGGTCAAAAAATGTTTTTGTCTTTAACACCATGGTACTGTTTTTACAGTGGTTCTCATACAAATGCCCAGGAAGTACAGGTATACTACAACGCTGTAATTTCTGTGGTACCCAACTTAAGCAGTGACCCACCTTTTTGAACCCTGTTTCTACCCAATATAGCAGTGTACAATCTTTTTGGGCCCCTGTCCCTCCCATACTCTAAATGTGAACCATTTTCTGTGCTTCTGTATCTGGCTGTGCCAGGGAACCACCTTCTTGGACCCCCATCTGCACCTAGCTCTAAATCTGAACCATCTTTCTGGGTCTGTGTCGTACCCTACTTTAAATATGACCCATCTTTTTTGGTCTCTGTCTGTACCTTCTTTAAATGTGACCCACCTTGTTGGGCCCCTGTTTGTACCCTACTTTAAATATGGCCCACCTTTTTGGGCCCATGTTTGTACCTACTTCAAATGTAACCCACCTTTTTGGGCCCCTGTCTCCTCCATGGCTGCTATAACAGTGAAGGCAGACACAGACTTGCTGTTGACAAATAAACTTGACACCAGGTACTCCGCCAGTTCCCGCATTCCGTTAAAATTCTGTTCCAGGAGCTTCATAGCCCACTCCAACACCAGGTCACATGATGCTCCAAACAGATGGTTATCCTCCGTCTTCTCATCCTATAATGCACCAATCAGAATTCAAAATCAAATATAAACAACCAATCAAAACTTAAAATCAAATAGAAAAAAATACCGTTAAGAACAGCTCAGTTGGTCATGACAACAAAAGGCTTATTTAAATTAATAAATTTTCTTTCTGAAAATTCATTCACAAAATTATTATTTTTTTAAACACTCAATTTAGCTCAAATATGAGGGAAAACGATTTTATAATAAACATCAATATGAATTACCTTTAATGCACATATATACAAATCATCAAAGTGCAGAGTTCAACAATATAGTAGCCTGATATTCATATTGAAAGCTAAGCTATGGGAATAACCTTGTCTTGGGGAGCACTGATGTCTATTTCTGGTAACGATGGAGCCTCAACATCCAGCTTCTTCCTTAGGCCTCCATAACAGTACGTAAAACTAGGTCAAGGTCATTAAAACTCTCAACATTCATAGATAGTCAGAAAAAGAAATAAATTTGGCAAAAATATTTTTTCATTTAAGAGACAGTCACAATATTAACCTGCCCTTTTTCTTCAAAATTAATTTAAAAAATAGATATGAAATATATGAGATATATATCAGATCTATATGTTGATCTTGACATAATATTTGGACAGTGTGAGGTTAAGGATATCTTGATTGTCCTCTCTGGCCGAGTCTCCTTGGTTTGACATTGGGGAAAACAGTCTTCATCAGCTTCCCAAAGTCAGCATTACAGAGGGGTACCAGACTGTGGTTCTCACAATATAACCTGTAAATGTTGGTCAAATAAAGGAATAAGAAATTTACAATACAGTCTGTAAATACTGGTAGAACAAAGGAGTATGAAATTTACAATACTGTCTGTATATAATGGTAAAATAAAGGAATAAGAAATTAACAATAAATTCTGTAAATATTGGTCAAATAAAGTATTATGAATACTGTTTGTAAACAATGGTCAAATGAAGTGTGATAGTATTTTGAAATTTACAATAGTGCTTGTACATGGCCCCAGGAAAAAGTTAGTCCTCACAACATCCTGTATCACTTTCAATAATTTTACTTCTCCTTTTCAAGTATTCAAGACTGTAGCAGAGGTTAAATAAAGCTGCAATCTTGAATGACTTGCTAGTCTAGCTGCCACATAGGGAAAACAAGTTTATTATCTAGCCTAGTAGCTAGGCTAGCTGCTACAACCATAACACAGCCCAGAATTCACCCCTAAATGCAATACTGGTTCCCTTTAATTAAATCTTACACTTACTTGTATTCATCATACACTTCCTGTTTGGGCAGACAGATTTCTATATCCTCTTCCAGGTGAGATTTTATCCAGGTGTAAGCCAGGCTCTGTTCTACTCTGTTGGCCTGCTTGGAGTAAGGCGTGGGGGTTCTGTATTTAAAAAAAAAATGCAAACATGGTCAGAGCTCGGAACCTGTGACCTTGGCTGCAATTCTACAAATTATGAAGTTGAAACCTTTCTTTTCCTAAATGAAAGTTTAAGAGACTTTGGAAGTTCCTGCAAAATGATAATCAAATATAGACCTTTAAGCTTGTGAATATATCAAACATATTATGGCTATGTCTAAATTACAGAGGGGATGATTGCTTTTTATCAAATATCATCACTCTTACAAAATAACTCATTTGAGTTATTTTTGGAAATAACTGTTTACATTATGCCTCTGACTGTTCAGTACATTAAGTATGTCTTACCTTCTCAGTTCCTCTGAAGATGTGTCCCCCGTCGGAAGCTTCAGGTACAATACAAATTTCTCCACATCAGACAAATTCTTTATTTCTCCCTACAACAAGATTTATTTATAACTCTTCCCATATTACGTGCAATAACAATACAATTATTTGAAAGAAACATAAATCAAAAGGAAATTTTGATGGTATGTAATGGTATGTAATTGCTACTTACCAGAAGTCTGTCAATTTTCCCTTTTGCTTCAATACTGAAAAAGAAATTACAACCATTACAATGATTATTATTACAGTTGAATCAACACTTTTCAAAAGTTATGTCCCTTGACTGCCATCTCTGGTGAAAAACCTATAGTTTACTATTATAACTAGACTTTGACCTTTCCGTTGACCCTTCACATGGACACAAATTTTGGATTGGACTATACTGTCAGTGATACTATGTGTATCTCGACAAGCAAACATTAAAAAGAGACTAAAACAATATGCTTCATAAATTGCATCCTAATTGTCCATATACTGAGGTGTTCTATATCATAGATGTTCTTATGCAATTGATGCAGCAAGTGAAATGTCAGACATGCTAGTGATCACAAATTATTGGGAGCTTAATAGACTAACGTGTAAGAACAGGAAAAATTCTATTAAAATCTGTATATTTGTCATGCAATTTTCTGTGAGACCTTCCCAGAACTCCTTTGCTACCAGGATTCCATGCGATAATGGCCAATAAACAGTCCCACAGTTATCCTGTTTAAAGATTTAGTTCTCGCAGAGAACTTAAACAAAACAAAAATAATTATTGCATCTATTCTACGGGGCCTTTCTTTAGAAAATTGTGAGAGGCCTATTAAGACTCGGTTATGGATATGCAAGTTACATATGATATGACATGACGTTATGCGATGTCACAATCCAGATTGTCCCGAGTGATGAGGCAGTTCAAAGTGTAATTGTAACAGGAGAGGAGAAAACGCAGTGGATCTGACTAGCGACCGGAATTCGAACTCCAGCCCCCTGAATCTCCAGTCAGGTGCTCTACCAACTGAGCTATCTGGCCAATGGCGATCCAACCCGTCTCATGTACCCCCTCCAAGGGTGGCACCGTAAAACATATTAAGAAGTATTTTACATAGAAATTATTAAAAGGAAAAAAATAGGGAAAACAACCCTCAAATGTTGCTCTTATATTTTGAACCTTATATTTTAAGGTTATCACGAATAGGCAAACAACATGAAAAAGTTGATGTCATCACCCAGTGTCAATAATCACAAAGTAATGCTGTAGACACACCTGATCCGTGACTCCAGTCCATCCCCGATACTGCTGTACCTGCCTTCAGTCCGATGTTTTCTATTCTGCTTTACATGGAACGGTCCTCCACCCAGCGACTCCGAGCAGAGTCCTGAACTAGCGTCATGACGCACGCTACTTTGTGCGTTTAACTTGTTTCTGCTTTCAAATTCAAGGCCTACATCGCTGACCTGTAGAAAATTAGTGGACATTGTAGAATGTACGGTGATTTGAGGGGAAATCACGTCTTTTTCGACACATGGCGTCCAATATTTTTGTAAATATTTGTATCTTCGATTACATATATATTTCTGCGCATGCGTTGAATATCACAAGTGGGTTTCAAGTCGTAAAAACGGATATTTTTGAAAAAAAAAAATCATTCTTTGTAGCAATAATATCAAACTTTCTGATACACTTGTCCTTATTCAATTTTTTTCTTATTATAAGTTTGTTAGATTTTTTTATTCAATCGATAGTAACATCTACTTATCATTTTCTTTTTTTCAATTACATTTCAAGACCGATTGCAATTTTATCCGATCTTGACCCACTTTTTCTTTTGCGATTTTGCTAAAATATTGGCAACATTTACGACTTTCATTATTAGTCGTAAAGTAGATTGTAAATCATGTCTGAAGCACAGTCAAGAAATAATTCAGTAAGTAAGGATAGTTTTAAGTCATTTTATCGTGTTAGTTGCTAACTTGTTTGTTTTTTAATGCATTTTCTATGGATTTTCTATTTTTTTCCAGTAAAGGGTGTTGAAGACATTCACATTGCATGAAACATGAAAATCACTAGTTGCTACGAACGCTTCGAACTCAGTTGACCAAACTGTTACTCCCCACCGGGCACCCTCTTTATTATATCTGAATACAGAACAGAATATTTATTTCTCTCCACTTACATCAATTCAATACTATGTTTCATCAACAGCAGTTAATGGTCTTAATCAGTAGGGCTGTCACGGTTCCAAAATTTTTCGGGTCGGGTCGGTTCTGTAAATTTTCGGTTCGGTTTCGGGTTTTTCGGGTTGGTTATTTACATCTATTTTAAACCTTAATTTCATGAATTTAACTTGAAAAATCTTTACTTGTTACATTAAATTTACATTGAAAACAAGCCTTAACCATGCGAACGTCTAGACATCGGTGACTTGGCCTACTATTAGCCACAACCTGACTATTCCTGCTCGTTTTGATAATTATCTAATACTTCCGTGACAAATGTTTTGTCATGGAATGAAGTAGATTTCAGTTTTGATGTTTATTTATCACTGTTATCGTCATCATTCCTTTGATTTCAACGCCATTTTTTGTATTGAACAGACTCTAATATATAAACCAGACCTGAACCGAAATCCAGAAAAATGGAACCAGAACCGAACTGAACAACTTGGACCGCGGTTCTGGGTTATTTTGGGTACTCGTGACAGCCCTATTAATCAGGAATGTTCTCATGGTGTATAGACTGAAGGCTCTACATATTCTCTTTAGAGAAGCGAACAGGAATACATGTAGCTAGCATCTACTTCTTTTTACAGATCTTTATTTTTGAATTCTAGAAAACATGTAAATGCTGGAACCGCCTTTCCGGTCACAGTCCATACTGTGACAAAAGTTTCGACTTCGCATGTACACACTTGTATTCAAAATATTTTTTAGCTCACTGTGCAATTTTGATGTTGATGTTGGCATCCTGATCCAAATAAATCTATCCCCAAGTACTGTGTTGACTTTTAAGGATGAAGCTTCGGTAGTTGCTTACTAATAGGCAGGTTTCAGAGGATGGATTTGATCAGGTGTTGCAAAATTGTTATAGATTCTGAAATGATACGATATTTCAAAGCAAATCTGTGAGACCAACTTCAATTAATGCTTAGTGGGAAAATTTGTCCATCATTCGCAAGAAAGATAGAGGAACATCCTTTGATAATGTTCAAAAATAAACAATTTTGTTTAAAAAAATATTTATTTTGAAAAAAAATTAGTGACTGTCAATTTTAAAATTTTCAATTGATTGTCACCAACATGCTGCCTTCAGTGACTATCGTAACAACACTAATTTGATCAAAATAATTTGGCAGATTACTAGCCAGATTTTTGGATCAAATCCATCAATCCATCCCCAAAATTCTATAAACCTGTGATCCTTTTTCCCCATTAGGAAAAGTATTTTTTAGCATTTGTATATTTTTTTTATTTAGGCTAAACAAGCCAGACCTTTGTCAGGGAGACAGTCTTCCCATGGCATTAAAAACACAAATGTCCCATCCAGGGGTGGATCTGGGAATTTGTCTGCTTCCAGAGGTGGAACTGGTGTCAGAGATTTAGCCAGCAAAGAAGAGGAATACAAGTAAAAGTTTTACACATTTTGTACTGCCTTCCATGTCATTTTTAATTGAAACATGTAAACACGGATTACAGTCAGTTAACCAGGTTTTATTGTCACAAACAGTTCACATAGGGGCGCGGATCCTAATATGCGCAGGTGTCACTGATTACAATAGGTGACGATATACAGTAGCTGTGTGAGTTGTAAGTGGATGTGTGGATGGTGAAAAGCTATAATAAACAAATACAAATATACAAATACAAGCTACAAACAAAATCACTACAAAGACACAAAGTTTGAATGAACTCGATCAAGTTACATTCCTGACAAATTAGATACACAGATTTACTCGCTAAAAGTACACATGAACTTTTACAGAGGTTTTTAATGTCGCTTTACATTAGCCTTAAAGTTGCAGCTTTAAAAAGAATTAACTGAAAACTTGTAAAACTTACATTGTGATCGGCCACAGTTTCTCCGAGATTAATAATGTCTGGACATGTACATTTCTGAGTCTTTTACAAGAATGAATTTTGTGAGTGAAAATACAGACTAAATAGTAATCTACACAGGAAACAGCATAGTTTCATAGTTAAAATAAATATCAAACTGCAGGCCCTCCCAAGTTAAATAAACAAAACGCAGCAGATTTTGACTTTAACATAAACAGCAGACAGGACTTTATGGTCAGTCAGCAAAATTCAAGCGTGAGAATATGATTATAAAAACAATTTGAACAATGAACAATGTATTTAGTCATACAGATATTGACACATTTGCGACTGTACCTAAAAATGCAAAATCTGCAATTCTAAATAACAATGTACAGAATGTAAGACATTACACATTTACTAAAAAGTGATCTCTTTATTCACTTTTTTTGATAAACTTGAGCTTGATTTACCATATGTTTTCATTCACCTTAAAAATGGCTTTTAAAGAGTCATATGTATGGAGTAGGGTGGACATACTTCTGAGTGTTGAATTTTTTGTTGACGTCTTTTTTAGGAAGTTAAATGCAGAGTTGGAGGCAAAGACAGCCAACCTTGTAGCAGAGGCAGAGGAAGTCCTGGTAAGTGTACTGGTTCTTAAATATTTACTGGTAAATAAAAGGCTGTTAGATGTTGGGTTGAAAGAAATAATTTGGAAGAGACCATTGCCCTTCATTCAGCAATCTTGAAAGTCCATAATTAAATAAAATCTTGCAGGGCCTTGAAGTTCAGATCTTCAAATTTAACATAAATATTAGTTATGCTTCTTTAAAAACTATCCACCTTGCTGAAAAGTTTCTGATCTTATGCTTTATGACAGACAAACATTTCTCAAGCTGATTGTAAGATTAATGTCTAATTAAATGTATTGAATTTTACTTAATTTTAAATTTCATTCCAGCGAGAACAGGAATCTGTTCTGTCTAAGTCCCGTCTCCTTGACAACATCAACTCTGAGGAATTCCTCAAGTAAGTGTCAGATATAAACTACTGTTTCTCATTTGGAAAAGGAGAGGGGTTTCTGGTATTATTGTGCTCTGTAGGAGAATGCTTAAAGGGAGAACACTTGTAATTTTATCAGTAAATTTTGCCTTTAACCCAGAAATATTACAAAATTAGAAAAAATTACATGAAATTCGTATCAAATTCATACCTATGAATACAAGAAACTTTAGCTCTATTGCTAGATTTTCTTGATCATCATCATCTATATTTTTTTTTTTTTGACAGAGAATTTGATGAAGACATAACAGGCCCAAATGAGAACACAGAATTAACAGCCAGGGTACAGACTGTGTAACAGATTTCTTATTATTAGAGAGGTGGAGATTTCATACGTGTACGGGCATGTCTAGTAGGGGAATTCCCTAAATTCCTCGTGTATTAATTCATTAGTTTTAGTGTTACAAAGACACTGACCACAGTGTACATGTTCATAATACATGTCATAAAAATCTCAATGACAAAAACATGTATTTATACGTAAAAGTATATGCACACATATATGTGCGCATACAGGTTTGAGATCTCAACCTCTCTATTATATCTGAATATTATACACTAACAATGAAACTAAAGTTTTGAAAGTAGTAAAGTCATTTTAATGTTATCAACAGAAGACAAGTGATGTAGAGTTTCAGGTTTCATATTGAACCTTTGAGGCTTGGAAAAATTAAATATTAGTTTTAACAGTTGAAAATGAATTGATCCTTTTAGTTGTAAATTTCATACAGATATCAAATTTTCCACTACTCTCTTCAAAGAGTTTTAATCATAGGTAATCATAGGTATGAAAAAACATTGTGTGTGAAGTTGATGCAGATTTGTAGGTAATCAATACTGACTTCAACAGTGATTTTTTTTCAGCCCTCCTCAAGACCAAGTTCTAAACTGACCAATCAGATTCGACCACAATCCACCAATCAAAGTCGTGCACAATCTAAAACAAAGCGTCCAATTTCTGCAAAGTAAGTAAAATTTAATACTACATACGTGGAAATTTTGCCCCCCCCCCATTTTATTTTTGCTCCTTTCACCCTACTCACAAGTGGGAATATTTAAAATGGGGCAAATTCAAAAAACACTTTGTAATTTCTTTAACAGAACTATGATAAGGCGAATTTAAAACAGGGAAAAATTGTTTGCACGCGTGAAGGGGGAAAGTAACACTGGGCGGAAATAACCCTGTTTACAGTGTAGAGTCCTTAGCAAAGACTCTAATCTGTGCGTAGATAATTAAAGTGCACTGTAAATCTCTCCCATACAATTTTTATGATTTGGTCATTCAAATTGATGTTTATAGAGTGCTTGTAGAAATTTCTCTTTATATGATATTTTGTTCCTACCGAGTACGGTAATCTTTTCTTTGAAATAACATATACGGTATAAGTGCCAAAATTTATTTTTTCATTCCTTTCATTTTTTTTTTCTTTTGGATTGAGGCATTTTTAAAAATGCATCATTGCAGAGTATTCTTTTTTCACATTATGATTGAGGGATAAATTTGAATCATGTATCCTATTTCCTTTTCAAAAACTAATTCTTCGATCCCTAGATCTCAGCCTCGCAGTACGAAGTCAAACATAGCTGATGATGTAGCTGTCCCAGACGAGACGTTTATGACGGATTTTAAGAACTTCTCTCTACAGAACACAGTAGCTAACATTGAAGGTCAGATAGACAGCGGTGATCTCCCCTTGGAGGAAGAAGACGATGTTTTACCTCATGCTGCGGCAGACATGGGAACAGGTTAGTATACTGAATGCTGGGAACAGGTTAGTAATGAATACTGGGAACAGGTTAGTAATGAATACTGAGGTTGTTGTGCATTAAGTTTTCTGAAAAACAGGCAGGATTAACTTTTAGATAATTTTGATACCGTTATGAAAGAGCAATTTCCTGCCTTGATTCTTACCTTTAAGATGAGGGAACTAGATCACTTTAGCAACCATCCCAGAAACAAAAGCTGACAAAACTAGTGTGATCTTGAAGTTTTCTCCACTTCCTCTTTGCTTCTTTTAATTTTTGGCTGTCACCTTGTTGCTCACTCACATTATGTCAACTTCATGCACTTACTGTGTTGCCCTAAAGAGAAAATGTGAGGGAGTGAGTCCTATTAGTTCCAGGAATATTTTATATACTTGTGTAATTGTTTGGGTCATGGATGAAGGAGACCTGGGTTTGATGCCTGGTCCAGCCACACATTTTCTCCTTTTCTGTTACATAATTTGGTGCCTGGAACTGGAAGTGACAGGTGAAAGACCTACCAGGGAGGAACCTGGTTTGGTGTGTTCAGGTGTCAAAGACCGTAAGGGAGGGGGAAATATGTGGATTCATTCACCAGTGGCAAGATAGCTCAGTTGATAGAGCACCTGACTGGAGATTCAGGGGGCCCGGGTTTGAATCCCAGTCTGGTCCATCACATTTTCCTCCTAGTCCATTACACATGGTATTTTTTTAAAGTTTTCCACATGTAATCAATGTATAATTTTTTGCGTAATCTTACAGAGGCGACAATCCGATTTTTGAAGGCCAAGCTACGAGTGATGCAGGAAGAGGTCGATAGGTTATCTCAAGAGTGTAACAAAAAGGTACATAAGTCATATGTTAAATCCTAAAATTTAGAGTAGCTGAGCGAAACAAAATGGAAAATATCATGCCTTCCCTGTATGGTTTTATAGACTAAATATTTCTTACTGAAGAGTTAAGTAAAACAAACAATGATGTGATAAGACTATAGTCTGCTAATTATGATTAGCTCACAAATAAGTTCATGACATTTAAAAGTTGATGCACAAACTGAAATTTAATGGATTTCTTGAATATCCAAAATCATAATAAAGAAAGCAATTGAGAGCCTTTTTTTCAAATTGAATACTGGTGTTTATATGGATGTGGATCAGAGATCTTGAATAAACTGTACAGGTTAATTACCATTACTAAACTTCAATTAAAGACTGTATTAAGTATTTACAAAATTAAATTTTCAGGATGAAGCAAACACTGGCTTGTCGTCTCGCATTAAAGAACTAGAGGAGGAACGAGGACGCATGCACCGAACAAATGCAGCACAACAGTCACAGATGGATAAATATAAAAAGATCGCGGAGGAGGCACGGGGAAAATCAGAGAGTGTGGAGGGTCAACTGACAGCTGTACGCAAGGTAGGTAACTCTGAAAAGTAAATATAGATACAAAAAGATCGTTTAGAAAATGTTTGGTTAATCACAGAGCATGAAAGCTCAACTGTTAAAATTTACATAACTGAAAATTAAAGGATCAAATACATAGTATTTGAACAGTGAATTCTAGATGTAACAATCCTCAAGGTACTTAACTCTGATATGTAAAGTGACCAAATGCATAGTATTCTAATGGTGAATTTAGGTATGTGTAAATTATGAACATAAAGGCCTGTATAAGATTTGACTTAAAAATGTGACTACATATTTTCACTTAAACCAGTATCTTTTCTTTTCGTGAATTTACCCAATAAAATTTTTTAACTAACATGTCTTACTAACACAGGTGGTCACATTGTTTAGACCCACACATTTGACTTAACTTTTTGACAAATCTGTGTCTGTTTTTTTTTTGTAGGAGCTGGAGCAGATGAAGCGTCAACAGAAACAACAGACGACCTCACAGAGTGCCACAGAAGTACGCCTGAACCGAGCCCTGGAGGAGATAGAGAAATATAAAGAACAGTTATCCAGACATAAATCTACATCCAAGGTAAGAATAATCCATAAAATCAAAGTACTGAAAGTACTGGAGGAGATAGAAATACAAAGAACAGTTATGAACTTATCTACACATAAATCTACATCCAAGGTAAAGATAACCGTACTGAAAGTACTAGATTATTAGATAGAATCAAAGTACTGAAAGTACAGGATGGAGATGATGGTTTGGGTAATGAAGTTATATTGTTATCCAATTCATAATTAACAAATATCTATTTACTTGAGGTAGAAAATCAGTGTGGAACCAAATGCAACACTGCTTGATCTAGAGACAATACAATAGACATAAAGGTATGCACTGTGTATGAAATTCACTCTGTTCAATTGAATTTTAATAATTTTCTTTAACCAGGAATCCACAGAACAGGAAAGGAAGAGACTTGATCAGCTGGTGAATGACAACAAACGACTGGAGAAACAGAAAAATGAACTCATGGCAGGGTTCAAAAAACAGCTCAAACTCATAGATGTACTCAAAAGACAGAAGGTGAAAATACTAAAACAACTCTTACTCCGTAGGCATGCTCAGAAATACGGAGTTTTATAGCTGTCCACCTTCATTTTTTCACTATTTAATTTTAATAAGTAAGTCATTCTTTTTTAATTCCAGATGCACATTGAGGCAGCCAAGATGTTGTCATTTTCTGAGGAGGAGTTTGTTAAAGCTCTAGAATGGGGCAGCTAGCAATTGTTAATTATTGTACAGACATTCTCAAATGTAGATCCCTAGGTCTGCTTCACCAAGTGGTGTTGCAAGGAAAAATTTATGTACATTTTGCTTATTGACTAAATTTATAAAATATAAAAGATATTGGTTTATTTTTTATCGACTGAGACAGGCTACTGACAAGTAAGTTAATGCTACAGTGGTATCAACAATCTGGTTTGAAGACAAAATTTTGTAAATTGTTTAGTCAATACAATGACTGTGTTTGCAAAATTTTGTAAAATTGTGTTGAATGTCATACAAATTGTTTGGCCATTGGTTTGATACTATTTTCAAGTACAGATTACTCTTTTTACTGGATTAATACTGAGGACTAAAGGTGGGTGTGACCAATGAATATGGGATGCTTTTTCTACATGACACCTGATCCCATCTCTGATATTTCCAGTAATCCTTGTTTACCTAGCTCTCTGTAACAAAAAAATGTCTTTAAGAATGGGATATTTTTTTAAACACTTTACAGAAGTTATTTTCTGTTGGCATGTTAAGTTCATAAAATATTGGGGAGGGGGAAGGGTTGCTATATACCATTTAACAATTGTTTTGGTGAGAAATAAGAAATTAATCCTGTCAAAGAAACAAAAAATATTATTTTAGCTAAAATTTCCTCAAAATGTGTTTAAAGGTGGTACCAGTATAAAGTATCCTAAGAATTGAAATTTATTGGAACTCTTGAATTACAGAAAATAAGAGAAGAGTGTCGCAAGGAACGCTGGTGTCGCCTGCTTTATAGCGTCATAAAAATTATATTTACATCCACTGAATATTTTCTCCTTTATTTCTAAAGAAAACCATTGCCTTTTATCAGTTCATGAAAACACTAGGCATATCAGTGATATCACCTGTACAGATTTCTTGATCAGTGGCTGTTCCATCAATGAAACGTACTATGACGTACATATCAATAATACAATAGTTAATCTTTTTAATCCTACTTTAAATGATTATTTATACAGATATAAACAATAAAATGTCTTTCTTTGGTTGTTAGTAAGGCTTATGTATTTTTTCTGCAACAGCTGCGACATTAATTTTCGTACTAACAACCAAAGAAAGCATTTTATTGTTAAAGTAAACATAGCTACTTATATGCTATACTAGCATTATAGTTCTTGGATAATTGCCTGCAAAGAAAAAAGAAACATCCACGGATAGTAATAAGATTACGATACAAAGAATCAGTAGTAATATGATTCTCCAAACCTCAAAGCTGAAATAAATTTAAAAAAAATTGAAATTATTAGAAATAATTATTGTCTTTAATTTCACAGTATATATTTTGATATCCATTATTTTCTTTTCACAAGGTGTTTCAAGAGGTTTTTAAAAATTTTAAGAGATTTAGTTTAAAAAGTATGTTTTGAATTGCTAGCTAGAAATATTTGTCATTTACAAAAAACAACAAGAGGCCCAAGGGCCTGAACGGTCACCTGAGTATAACACAACAATTAAGAGGATCCACAGAGTATAAAATGAGCTGAAAGGTGAAGCTTTGTTGCCCAAAAGCAAGAAAAATAGGGTGATCAGGATCAACAAAATAATTAGTCTAGTGTTCATTAATAGTTCATAAATTAGGTTCTAACCTGTTCCCCATTTATCACTATCACCATTCAGTTATTAACAAACTAATTAGTGCTTCTGTACTATTTTAATTCTTTGTTGAAATCTCTTACATTGGACTCCTTTGGTCTTTGATGAACATTGAATAAGACAAGTTATTTTTGTCTCATTTTTATTTATCTATTACTTACAAGTCTACCTGATCATTAAGACTATGAAAGTACTTTTTGTATTATACGATAAAAAATCTTGCATAATTCTCTTATTCTATTAACCTTTCAAGTACATTATTTACAAGAATTATCAAAAGTAAATGGCAAAGGAAAATAACTCCTCTCAGTAGAATACAAATTAATAGAGCCCAGGCAAGGACCAGAACACTTGACCAAATAGTCCAGATGTTCAGAAATCTTTATTAAAACTTACTCTTTTTGCCTCTGATATGCCAGGGTGCAGAGAAGATTTTCAAAGAAATAATGCATTTTCTACTACAGATTCACTGTATTATCAATAGAGCCCCCCCCCCCCTTACACCAGTACATCTGACCCAGAGGTCATGCAATTCACTACTCTGGAAGAAGCAATCATGCTCATCATAACTATACACATAGCTTCTTTGCTTTTTAACCAGGAGCAGAAAAGAATATTTTCAAAGAAATTTTGCTTTTTTTCACTATATAATCAATAGTACGTTAAGGATCGATCTCGTAATTCTTTTAAGTCGTATATATTGAACACAGACCCCTGGAACACAAGATTGAGACAGGATCAGGTGCCGGCATAGGAGGAAAAAGCATCCAATGTCGGCAGGTCACCTGTGATGAGCTTAAGCTATTGAAGAGGTAGACAAAGTAAACCATACTTAAAATAATTTTAAAACGGGTATTACAATTAGTATCAAATACGTACGACCCATCGATAGGTTGTGTTTGCAAACCAGGTTCTTATAACGACCATAAAGTTTGATTTCTAGTCCACCTTGATAACAGAGTCGACATATGAATGAAAAAAAAATATTTATTGATAAAACGTCGCCAATACATCTAAATGTCGGACTGAAACTGAAAGTCACATCAAGATTTTTCTTCTCATGTAGAAGTTTTTAAAAGAGTTAAGCTTCATTAGAATATATAACAGTTCGGTTTATGAAGGGGCTTCCAAGAATGAACATTTGATTTACATCACATCTTACATATGAAGTTCCAGAATATGTCTGAAGTTTCTCCTTCACAGCAGTTTATATTTTGGTGTCAGAACAAAAGATATGAACTTGGTAAAACATTTATCGGAACCTGCAATATATCTTTGAAAGGATTTTATGAAGTTTTTGGAATCCAGTATTATAACGGTACATTATATTCATGTCCATTGACTGGAATGTTATATCTTATTAAAATACTGAAATATCATTTTTGAGAAACTCATCTTTGAAAGGCGATTGTGAGTATGAGTTGGACAAGTTCTTCAAAGATAGAGTATAGAAATACGTACATCAATTTTTTTTTTGCGATATTTCGATATTTCTTCATACATCTATCATTATGCGTATCGTCCTTACACAGAATCGATATTATCGATATCACGATATGTCGCCCCCCCCCCCAGATAGCAAGACATTGTTGGGCCAACGTTGGCCCAATTTTTTTTTTCCAACGTTGGCCCACTGTTGGTAGTCCTACGTTGGCCCACGGTCATTTTGCTCATCGGCCCAACGTTGATCCAACATGATGGCATATTGTTGGGCCAACGTAGGTATAATTGTAAGCCAACTAACAGCCAACCTTAACAACTGGTTGGTTAGGTTGGCCCAATGTTGGGCCTTTGTTGAAATGTCAGATGGCATATTGTTGGGCCAACGTAGTTATTATAGTAAGTCAACTAACAGCCAACATAGAAACAACATTTGCAATCGGTTAGTTAGGTTGGCCCAACGTTGACCCTTCATTGAATGATTGGTATGATATTTACGGTTTATTGGCCTTAAGCTTCTTTCTGTTGGCCAATTGTTGGATGAAACTTACATCTGTTTAAATAAATTGAATGAATACTTCTTGAAAATACATTTATAAATAATTCTTTATATAGACCTTTCTCATAATTGTTTAAAAAAAAATAATAATACACACTTCAACCTGCATTCATAATGCACATACGTTCAAAGAAAACATTACAAGTGATTCACTGTAAAATTATTTTATATATATATATATATATATATATATATATATATATATATATATATATATATATATATATATATATATATATATATATATATATATATATATATATCAATTCAATCAGAATTTACAAAATTACTTTTAAAATAGATAATGGCAGCATAATGGTGGAAATGTATGAGAAAAATATTAATTTAAAGTTCTTATTCCTGGCTCACTTCCTCTATCACTGTCCTTTTGTTTTGTTTCCCGCTCTTTCTTTTTTCCTCCCTTTGTCGCCTCCCCAGGCCTCCATCTTGATCTTAGGCACACGTACTCCATACAGTCCTTTATGTTCTTCAGTTTCATTGTCAGTTACCGCTACAACATTTGTTTTCCTTACAGTCTCTGATTGAAAATACAAATAATTTGGTATTGGAAACAAAGCAGATAATTATACGTACAGACTCCAATATATAAATCATGTAATTAAGTCTTTTAAAGACAACGATGTAAAATACTACTAGTACATGTTGATCTATAAACCTTAGTATCCTTGTTAAAATCATAATCGTGTATGCAATAGACAATAGATGGAGACAAGTTGAAAGATGTTTTTTACCTTACTTATTATTGTATTTCTTAATGAGCACTAGAAGTTATTGTAAATAAAAGTTTAAAGTACATGTATGTGCCAACTGTATACACATATATAATTCATATTTACATTAACTTATATAGTGCTTGTGAGCATAAACAAGAAAAGGATGAATTCCGAACAATTTTAACAGTAAACTTAAATTAATAAGAATAATTATACTTACATCGCTTCTAAGATGCAGCTGTAACAATGGTATAATCCATAGTTTTTAGCTCTACTGGTCAGAGACCAGAAGAGCTTATGCGATAGTAAAGTGTCCGTCGTTCGTCCGTCTGTCTGTCTGTCCGTCTGTAAACAATTTTTCAAAATGCTACTCCTCCTACAGTTTTGGTCTGATTTCAATATTACTTGGCACACAAGTAGACTATACTAAGATACATAATTCTGTGTATCGGTTTTTGATTTCGATGAACGGTGTTGCCATGGTTACTAAAAATAGAAATTTCTGTGAAAAACATTCAAAATGCTACTCCTCCTACAGTTTTGATCTGATTTCAATATAACTTGGCACACAAGTAGACTACACTAAGATACATAATTCTTTATATTGATTTTCTGATTTCGATGAACATTGTTGCAATGGTTACTAAAAATAGAAATATCCTTGAAATACCTTCAAAATGCTACCCTTACAGTTTTGGTCTGATTTTAGTATTACTTAGCACACAAGTAAACTACACTAAGATACTTAATTTTCTGTACCA